CTTTTCTCTCTATTAAGTACATTAGACGTGTGGCTGTGAGAGGGAAATGAAATTGCAAGATTTAGGGAGGAATTTGATGTCACACATTATTAATCCAAAAGCTTTCTACAGTCCAGTTATCCTACACAGGGTCACAGTGTGGCTGGTACACGGGGTCATGGTGTGGCTGGTACACGGGGTCACGGTGTGGCTGGTACACGGGGTCACGGTGTGGCTGGTACATGGGGTTACGGTGTGGCTGGTACACGGGGTCACGGTGTGGCTGGTACACGGGGTCACAGTGTGGCTGGTACAGGGGGTCACGGTGTGGCTGGTACACGGGGTCGCGGAGTGGCTGGTCCATGGGGTTGTGGTACACGGGGTCACAGTGAGCTGTTTCCCCGGTGCCCTGGACCAGCCCAGGGATCTCCCCCCAGAGAATAATTTATTCCAGAAGCAAAGGAATCCAATTAAAGCAGAAAAATATCAGAGAAAGGGTTTTGATTGAGACTCTGTCTTAAAAAGCGAACTGCAGGTTATGAAGGTAAAGTTATTTTAGATGTAATAAAGTTTAGATGTTCAAGCACACTCAGTGCTAATCTTTAGAATAAGCAGTGAATTTCCTGGCAAAGCCGCACCGTACACAGTGGCTTTTCGCCCAGCCTGACGCTCACACCTGGATCAAGACAACCTTTTTCTCCCCCAAAACACTGCTCTTAAGTATTTACTGCGTGAAGACTTCCTCCGCCTCCCAAGGGCCCTTAATCCAGATAGTGGTTACTGGAGTAGAATTCTCTTTTTTTAAAAATATATTTTATTGATTTTCCTCAGAGAGGAAGGGAGAGGGATAGAGAGTTAGAAACGTTGATGAGAGAGAAACATCGACCAGCTGCCTCTTGCACACCCACTACCAGGGATGTGCCCGCAACCAAGGTACATGCCCTTGACCCGAATCGAACCCGGGACCTTTCAGTCTGCAGGCTGATGCTCTATCCACTGAGCCACACCGGTTTTGGCTAGAATTCTCTTTTGAAGTTCCCGGATGTCATTCCCTTCATGCGCTAGCCGCCCCATAACAGGCACACCCTTTGCAGCCCGCGGCTTGTGTCCCAGGAGAATGTGCCCCACGTCCTCTGCCCCCTGCGAGCAAGTCCACATCTCGCGGGAGAATTCTAACCTCCATCCCAGGTGACTGGCACCGGACAGGGACCAGGGGCGGGGGGACCATCCGTCTGAAGGGAAAGGGCTGGTGTCGCCTCCAGCAGCCATGCAGGCCGCCGAGGGGCGCGACGGGTGCGAGGCTGCATCCCCTCCTTGTGGTCGGTTCCTGACTGGCTGTTGTGATGTCATCATCACGTGTGTTTTCCTGTGCACACGTCGCTCCAGGCAGCAGATCACTGAGAATGTGGTTGCGAGAAGCCCCCTCCCCCGTGACTGTGGTTGCTGGGAATGGTCGATTGAATAACTGAATGTCCTGTGTCATTTAACACGGAGTTCCTCTCTCCCAGCAAACACGTGTGAGACCGTTAAATTCAGCAGCAAAGACACGGGACGGAGGTTAGCCCGCCTCTGTCTGAGGCGCACACGCGCCCGCGGGGAGGGCTCCGCAGGGGCGGGGAGCAGGAACCGCTAACGGGGATGCTGATTTCTGAGTGCGTGTGCGGGCTCTCGGACATCACGGCCTGCTGTTCCTGCGAGGCAGTTACCTTAGGACCTTTTCCTTATTCCCTCGGGAACTGCCCGCTGAGCTCTGTCTGGCCGGCGTAGCTCAGGTGTTGGGCATCATTTGTGAGCCAGGAGGTCTCGGTTCGATTCCCCATCGGAGCACCTGTCCCATTTGGGGGCTCCATCCTCCACATGGGGCCTGCAGGAGGCAGCCGATCCATGATTCTCATCAGTGAGGTTTCTATCTCTCTCTACCGCTCCTTTCCTCCCTGAAATCAATAACAATATTGAGAAAAATGAACTTGAGTACATACCAAGCGCAGGGCTGAGCAGGACGGACAGGTCGCTCTGGTGGGAGAAGACAGACAATCCTGGTTAATAACCAGGATCAGTGACCCTCAGGGAGAAATGGGTGGGGTTGGGTGAGACCAGCTGTGCTGGAGGCACATTAGGTGGGTCAGGGAGGGCCTGGCTGAGTGGGGAGAAGTGGGGAGCTGTGATCAGCCAGGGGATGGGAGGGGAGAGGGGCCCAGACTGGGCACACGTAGAGCTTCATGTGCTTGAGTTTAGATTCCATTCTCAGTTCGAGTGAGAAGCCAAGTGTGGTAGTGAAGATGCTAAGATCACCTCTACTGGTGCTTTCAGTGGTTAGAGCGCTAGCCTTCGCACTGACGGGTCTCAGGTTTGATTCCCTGTCAACGGCATGTGCCCGCTCTGGTCAGGGCAAATGCATGAGGCAACCAATCCATATGTCTCTCTCACATCGATGTTTCTCTGTCTCTGTCTCTTCCCTCTAATCCCTCCCTCCTTTCCACTCTCTAAAAATCTAAAAATCAATGGGAAAAATACCCTTGGGTGAGGATGAACAACAACAACAGAATATGCTAAGATCCACTTTGTGACAAGATTACTTGCCTTGGGGTGGAGAAAGGATTGAAAGGGCCATTTATTATATAATAGGGGAATACAGGGTAATATGGGGAGCGGGGGGAACCAGGAGGGGCCATGGCCACCTCCAGGGGGCGTGGTGGACTCTGGCCAGGTGGAGGGCAGGAGGTGGAAGTGAACAGATTGGAATAGAAGGTGGTTTGATTAAAGAAAAAAACTCATCGCCATCTTCCGATCGGAAGGTAAGATATGCTGTGGCCAAGGTTGAGATTTGTAGCTGAAATGGTTAAAATGCCTATGTTTTCGTTGGTTGAACAGTGTAAGTTCCATGTACGTGTGTTAAGTCACGTGACACATGTTCTTGTAGACAGTGCTTTCTCCCTGCCTCACATTGAACAGGATGGTTTTATTCTGGAGTCGCCTGCGTTTTGAGAGGCTGGTGCATCTTTGGCTCCAATGTCGGACCCCACGGTGTGATTGTGGGGGGCATAGAGACCTTTCGCAGAGTATGGCACCTCACGTCCCTGTTTGAAGACACAGCCTTATTTTAATCAATGCATTTGTTGTCACTGTTTGTTCTAAGCCACAACATGGATTTATAAAGCATCAGGACACTTAATTCTTTCTAATCCTCACTTGAAGATATATTGAGAGAGATGAGAGAGAGAGAGAGAGAGAAGCATTGATCGGTTGCCTCCCATACGGGCCCTGACCAGGATCAAATCCAGGACCTACGTATGTGCCCTGCAGCCTTTGGGGGCAGAGGATGATCCTCAACCACCGGAGCCACCGGCCAGGGCAGCACAGTGCCCTTTCTGAAGGCTGCGCTTGTAGGGTGTGCTTATGGTCTGTGCAGTAGACCTGCCCACTCTGGTCCCTTACAGAGAGGGCCTCACAGCTCTTATAACTGTGCCCATCACTTAAACTGTGGGTCATTCATACGATACCTGTTATCTTCTGACTGGGAGCATTTCTGAATAAGGTACGTTCACCAAACAATCTCTGTGTTTGCTCACAGAAAAATGATGACGGACACCCCATGGTGAGCTCTGCGGTAAGGCAGCCTCTCCCTCCGCCCTTCAGTGGTGGCGATCATCCACATCCCGCACGCGCCCTCTGTCCGCGTCGGCCACTCGTCCCGTGGCGCTCACGGGCCGTAGTGCGTGTGGCAGCCTCCCGTGGGGGTGAGGTGGTTCTGCTCTCACAAACGGCGCTGCCGCGAGTCCCGGCCCCTCCCCCGTCACCCCGGGCCGCCTCTGGGACGTGGACAAATGCGCTTAAAGCTGTTCGATACGGCTGGTGGCCCCCACAGCGGTGGTGCGGCTGCCCACTGCCGCCTGAGAGGCCGCTGCGGGTCCGGGCCTGGCGCTCCTCGCGGCGGTGAGGGCCAGGCCGTTCCTGCCGGCCACTTGGCGGTTTCCGTGTGTGACCACGGGTGCCGGCTGCGCGGCTCTCGCCGCAGGCAAACGCTCTGAAGTGTTTATCTTCGGAAGGTGAATTTTCCTTTTGGAAAACGTCAAGCCTTACAACCTGGGTTCTGAGGGAGCTGTTCCTCTAGGTTTGGGGAGGGGGGTTTTGTTTTACCTGTTTGTTTGGGGAGAGAGGCTTCGTGAGAGGCTAGTCCAACTTGTAGATAAACATGTTCTTCTGCGTCTTATGGGTTTCCTTGGAAGTTAGTCTCAAAAGAAGAGCTTTAAATGTCTATAGGGATGGCACTGCCGGTTAGTGAAGATGACAGCTTTGCAAGGAGTGGGGTTTGAATCAGCCACACCTTGATGTGCGGGGTCGGTATTCAGTAGGTTTCCTTCGCAGGAGAGCACGTTAGCAACGAATGGTTTAAAGCTTTGGGCTGAACGTGTGAGCCTAAGGATTGCCTACTTTACAGTCAACACCTTCCCACCAGCTGACAGTCTGGAGGAGGGAGGTTCCTGCTCGACTCCGAGCAGGCCGTGTCCGGGGAGGTACCAGAAGTCCACAGTCTTCCTGCAGCCCCGTCACATTGCTGATCATTTTCTCTTCTCAATCGAATCCGTGTGCACTGACATGGAGAAAGCCGTCCAACAGCAAGCCTGTCAGCGAGACAAACTTAGCTCCACGCTGGCTTTTAACTTCCACAGGCTTAACTTCAGAACGAGTTGTTTTAAACGACACACTGACCTCCGCATGTCTGTCTCCTGAGCGCGTCGTCCAGTGCAGCCTGACGCGGGGATTCCCGCTGGTTTGGAGAGCAGACGTGATGGGTTTGGTGTGCTGTAGGTCAGACACCTGCAGCCATGTGCATAGACGTCAGATTTTAAATCACATTTAACTTCAGTGTCCTTTGGACCAATGGTTCTCATAGTTTTTTTCAAAAAGCCACTGCCGCAGTAAGCTGCCTTGTTCACGTTACCCGGGGCGTTGGTGGGGGGTCTGCAGCTTCGGGGCGCCCCGTGCCTGGCCCGGAGGTAACTGCCCGCTCTGTCCTTCAGGGAGATGGTCAATGCCTGGTTCGCTGAGCGCGTCCACGCCATCCCCGTCGGCAAGGAGGGCGGCCGCGGCCGCGCCGAGTCCTGCCCGAGCCCCCCGCAGCCCGGCCCCCGCGCGGAGGCCGGCGCCCCGGGCACCCCCGCCCGCAAGATCTCCGCCTCCGAGTTCGACCGGCCGCTGCGGCCCATCGTGGTCAAGGACGCGGAGGGCGCCGTCAGCTTCCTCTCGGACGCGGACGAGCAGCAGCAGATGCCGCTCCCGGCCCGCCGGTTCGAGCGCGACGGCGACGGGGACCAGTGCGCGCGGCTGCTGGAGCTGGTGAAGGACATCTCCAGCCACCTGGACGTGGCCGCGCTCTGCCACAAGATCTTCCTGCACATCCACGGCCTCATCGCCGCCGACCGCTACTCGCTCTTCCTGGTGTGCGAGGACAGCTCCAACGACAAGTTCCTGGTCAGCCGCCTCTTCGACGTGGCCGAGGGCTCCACGCTGGAGCAGGCGTCCAGCAGCTGCATCCGCCTCGAGTGGAACAAGGGCATCGTGGGCCACGTGGCCGCCCGCGGCGAGCCGCTCAACATCAAGGACGCCTACGAGGTGGGGCCCGGGCAGGACCACGGGAGCGAGGTGGCCCGGGCGGTGCTGTGGGCGGCGCTGTGGGCGGTGCTGTGGGCGGTGCTGTGGGCGGCGGGGGGTGGAGTGGGTGCCGGGCGGTGCTGTGGGCGGCGCTGTGGGCGGCGCTGTGGGCGGTGCTGTGGGCGGCGCTGTGGGCGGTGCTGTGGGCGGTGCTGTGGGCGGTGCTGTGGGCGGTGCTGTGGGCGGCGCTGTGGGCGGTGCTGTGGGCGGCGGGGGGTGGGCGCTGGGTGGTGGAGTGGGTGCCGGGCGGTGCTGTGGGCGGCGGGGGGTGGAGTGGGTGCCGGGCGGTGCTGTGGGCGGTGCTGTGGGCGGCGGGGGGTGGAGTGGGTGCCGGGCGGTGCTGTGGGCGGCGGGGGGTGGAGTGGGTGCCGGGCGGTGCTGTGGGCGGCGGGGGGTGGAGTGGGTGCCGGGCGGTGCTGTGGGCGGCGGGGGGTGGAGTGGGTGCCGGGCGGTGCTGTGGGCGGTGGATGCTGGGTGGTGGGCCCTGGGCAGTGCGGTGGGCAGTGGGCGGCGGGCAGTGGGTGTTTGGTGGGTGGTGGGCACTGGGCCGTGCTGTGCATGATGCCCCGTGGCTTGTGGCACTGGTTGGTGGGCCATTGGAAGCTGGCTGTGATGTTTGCGCATTTATTTAAAACTGCGGTTTGGTAAGGGCTTGGCTGGGGGTTGGGTCAGGGTGGGGCTGAGGGACCTTGTCTGGCTCCCCTCCCTCACCAGGGTGCGGTCTTGGTCCGTGGCAGAGCTGACGTCACCTCTCCCCACCTCACCCCTCCCCACCTCCCCCCTCCCCCGCACCCCGCACCCCTCACCCCTCCCCCTCCCCACTTCACTCCTCCCCACCTCACTCCTCCCCCCTCCCCCCTCCCCTCTCCCCCCTCCCTGACCTCACCTCTCCCCACCTCACCCCTCACCCCTCCCCCCCACCTCCCCCCTCCCCCCTCACCCTTCACCCCTCACCCCTCCCCACCTCACCACTCCCCACCTCACCTCTCCCCACCTCACCCCTCACCCCTCCCCCCCTCCCCCCTCCCCCCTCACCCTTCACCCCTCACCCCTCCCCACCTCACCACTCCCCACCTCACCCCTCCCCACCTCACCCCTCCCCACCTCACTCCTCCCCACCTCACCCCTCACCACCTCACCCCTCCCTGACCTCACCTTTCCCCACCTCACCTCTCCCTGACCTCACCTCTCCCCACCTCACCCCTCCCCCCTCACCCCTCACCCCTCCCCACCTCCCCCCTCACCTCTCACCCCTCATCCCTCCCCCCTCCCCACCTCACCCCTCCCCACCTCACCTCTCCCTGACCTCCCCTCTCTCCACCTCACCACTCCCCACCTCACCTCTCCCCACCTCACCCCTCCCCACCTCACTCCTCCCCACCTCACCCCTCACCACCTCACCCCTCCCTGACCTCACCTTTCCCCACCTCACCTCTCCCTGACTTCACCTCTCTCCACCTCACCTCTCCCTGACCTCACCCCTCCCCACCTCACCTCTCCCCACCTCACCTCTCCCCACCTCACCTCTCCCCACCTCACCTCTCCCCACCTCACCTCTCCCCACCTCACCTCTCCCCTGACCTCAGTGCGCAGCCCCGTCTGTGCTCCCTCCACATGAACTCCGGGTTCTACTGAGATTCTGAAATGAGAGGCAGACACTGACCCAAACCACGAAAACCCTCTACGCCTGCAGTTCTCAGCCTTCCCGACGCCGCAGCCCTGTAATCCAGCCCCTCATGCGGTGGTGGCCCCCCATACAGTCATCCCCGCTGCCCCTTCACAGCTGTCGTTTTGCCACTGCTATGAACGGTGATGTGAATACCTGTGTTTTCCGATGCTCTCACACAACCTTGCCTGCAGTTCTCAGCTCTTTAGGTACTTTGCCATCCAGTGTCAGTTAAGAACTATTTCTCAGAGACCCTCAGCCAAGGTTTCCACTGTGTCCCCATAGAACTTTCAGCGTGTTTGCAAGAAGGCAACGATAGTGTCTACTTACAATGTTAAATATTTACACTGATTGCCACCATTTCATCACTCTTCCTTTGGCGTAACCTTCAATGCCAGGCCTGGTTCTCTTGGGGGAAACGGCCTCGTTTCTGACCCCGATTGAGTGAATCGGTGCCGTCACTCACTTCACTCAGGGCCTCGGCTCCGCACGGCCTCGGCTGCTTACAGAGCAGCACTGGCCTCCGCAGACGGCCGCTCCGCGGCTCTCCGTGCGCTCCGAGGGGATTGCAGAGCGGCAGAGCGCCGCGCTGCTATTATTAGGCTGAGCCCACAACTTCCCAGGCCGCGCTCAGCGCAGGTCCAGTGTTTACGTCCTGGAATGCGTTTCCCTTCTGATCTCACCCCGCGGGGGGCAGCTGTCCGTCCCGCCCGCGCGCTTTCCCACCGTCCCGCCCGCCCGCCCGCCCGCGCTGGCTTTAAAGCGCAGCAGCCCAGGTCATGGCGCTCGGTGAGGACGACGCCGAGGGCGGACAAAGTCCTTCGTGCTTTTAGCTTCGGTTCCCGGCTGCACGCGGACCACACAGACGGACGAACCGAGGCACAGCCCCTCCTGGGGCAGACCGCTACCCCTCACCTCCCCGCCCAAAGCTGACGCGCAGAGCCTGTGCCTGTCTCTCCCCGGCGTGGAGACCTGTCCCGCCTCCAGAGTCCCTGTGGTCACCGGACGTGCGTGGTGTGCTTTGTGAAAAGGGAAAAGCGTTCCAAAGATGAAGGGGTTGTTTGCAGCGTGACTGAGGCCAGGTGGCTTTTTTAATTCTCCCCCGAGGGTATTTCCCGTTGATTGTTAGAAAGAAGAAAAAGACAGAGAAACATGGATGTGAGTCCGAGAAACACATCGATGAGCTGCCTCCGGCAGGAGCCCAGACCAGGGCTTGCAGCCGAGGCAGTGTGCCCTGGATTGGAGTCGACCCTGGGACCCTTCCGTCTCCCAGCCGACGCTCTATCCACTGAGCCACACCAGCTCATGCCAGGCGGCTTTCTTACATGTCAAAGAAGGGAGAAAAGATATGGTTTAACTTTGTATGAACACCGGAGAGAGTAGAGAAGGATGTTAAGAACTGTGAACCTATCACCAGGGAAGCAAAAGCGAAGTTGGGAAGGTCCGGGGGCAGGGGGGTGTTTCAGGGCTGCGAACCCAGGCATGGCGGCGCCCGAGCACTGCGGCGGGCGAGATGGGAGGGCAAGCCGAATGCCCCTGGGGTGACTGAGGCTGTCCAAACCCGGGAATGCTTTGAATTCCCTTTATTTCTGAGCACGTTGAATCTGTATTGTTTCTGGTTCTCATAATCATCAGCATCTCAGAAGGACTTAGATTCATCTTTGTCAAAAATGATACGAACTTACGTGACTTGGTGCCTCTTACAACAGAGCTGGCATGCCGAGCAGCACGGAAGCTGACGGCTGGATCCCTCTGGCCGAGCAGCCGGGAAATCCATCGGCGTCTGCCTGCGCCCGTCCCTGAAGCCGTTTCTCTTTCCTTCCAGGACCCTCGCTTCAACGCGGAAGTGGACCAGATCACGGGCTACCGGACGCAGAGCATCCTCTGCATGCCGATCAAGAACCACCGGGAGGAGGTAGGCGCTCCCGTCCGGTGAAACGCCGTTCGAAAGCATTTTTCTTTTGGGGGGAAAACCTTGCTTTGCACACGTATGCGTTGCGCACACGTATGACATACGAGCGTGGTGACAAGTGGACAACAAAGCGCGTACGTGTTCCACTTGGCATTTTAGGTGTAGACTCAGGACTGGATCCGGACGGGCTTTCCTGGGACTCAGGAGTGGGTTTCAGGCCTGTCACGTCCTTCCCCTGCCAGTCCCCTCCCGGCTCCGTTCTGTCCACGACGTATCACTGTGGCCGTGGGTGTGATCGGCTCACTGCACGTTGTGGTTTAAGTGGCTGAATGGTGCTCCTTTCCACGCGTGGGCGTCTAGCTGCAGGATCCTCAGGAATGTCACGGTTCGTCCGCAATAATTTTCGAATGGTCACAACTCCCCAAATACGTCACTGTGTTTTGAACAAAACCCACGTGTAAGTGGACCTGCGTGGCTCGAACCCATGTTGTCCAAGAAGGGGAATTGCACCTTGGCCGGTTTTCTCAGTGGTTGGAGTATCAGCCCTCAGACCAAGGGTCTTGAGTTCTATTCCTGGTCAAGGGCAAGCGCCTCGCAGGCTAGGTCCCACGAGTGTGAGAGGGCACCAGTCCATGTGCCTCTCTCACTCTGTCCCCACTGTCCCTCACTGTCCTCTCTCTAAGAAAATCATTGGGAAAATACCCTTGGTGAGGATGACAGAAGGTCTGTGGCGGGTGCATGTTGACCTGTGAGGAACGTGCAGGCCTGGGAGAATGGCTGAGGCCCTGTCTGCGCAGCCGTGTGGCCTGGGAGTTGGCTCTGTCCCTGGCAGCAGGGGGCGCTGTTGGCCTGTGAGCCTAGCCATTCCTGGGGTGACTGGACGTGGCTCACGTGGATCGATAACCCCCCTCTGAGCCAGGGCGGCTGCTCCCGCCATCTGGTGGACGTGGTCAGCTGGGCCCCCCCAGACTTGGCTGCCACAGCTCTCTTGAGCCTCCTGCGGGGTCCCCAGCCTCCTGGGGTCCATACCCCCAAACCCCAACCCCCACCCTCACACCCATGTCCTCTCCGCCCTGTGTGACCTATGGTGACCCCGTGTGAAGCGGCCTCCTCACTGGTGGCCAATGCCCGAGCATTTCCTGAGATGAGGAGCCATCAGTCATCGCCCGGAGGCTCCATGGCTTTGTAAAGAGAGGGTTTCCTCACACAGTTTGTAAACACCTCACTGCACCCCCTCCTCCCCTGCGCCCGCTCCTCCCAGTACCCCGCCTCTCCTGGGCAGTGTTGTAACCGACCGACGAGGCCTTCTCAGGCAGCGGGGGATTTTAGAGGTCGGATCTCAGAGTCCTGAACTTCTGTGACAGCCGAAACCGGTTTGGCTCAGTCGTAGAGCGTCGGTCTGCGGACTGAGGGGTCCTGGGTTCGATTTCGGTCAGGGGCATATACGTTGGTTGCGGGCACATCCGCGATAGGGGGTGTGCAGGAGGCAGCTGGTTGATATTTCTCTCTCATCGACGTTTCTGGCTCTCTAGCTCTCTCCCTTCCTCTCTGTAAAAAATCAGTAAAATATATTTTTTTAAAAATAATAAACTTCTGTGACAAATGTTTTTTGTTTTAGTATTTATAATCATAGAGCATCGCCCAGCCAGCATGGCTCCCTGGTTGAACATGGACCTATGAACCAGGAGGTTATGGTTCGATCCCAGTTAGGGCACATGTGTTGGGTTGGGACTCGATCCCCAGTGTGGGGCATACAATGCAGGAGGCAGCCCATCGGTGATTCTCTCTCATCATTGATGTTTCTATCTCTCTCCCTCTCCCTTCCTCTGACATCAATGAATCTATCTATAATAATAATAGGGAAATATGAAAATTAGCTGGGACGCCATAACGTCACCACTGAACAGCAGGGACCTGAGGCTGCCTGGTGCCTGTCTGGGCCCCCTGCCCCATGGGGCTTGACAGGGACCTCAGGCCACGCCCCCCTCCCCAGCGCTGGGCTGGGACCATGCTCCTCACCTGGTGGGGCTTGACAGGGGACCTGAGATTGTACCCCTGCCTAGAGGGGCTTGTTGGGGGGGGGGGGGGGAGCTGGCCGGATCTGGGTCTCTTGCGTTTTCGAAGTGTGTGTGAGTGGTGGGCGGGGACTTGACTCTGGGTCCCGGGTGTGCCCCAGACTCTGACAGGAGGAAGGTTTTCATATACATTTTACTAATTTTCTTTAATCTCTGACACTTCTGTTATAGAGAAAGGGCCAATAGCAATATTAAAATATTTCCTCTGATTATTTCCCTTTTAATGTCCATGAATTTCGTGCACCGGGCCACTAGTATAATATAAAACGGGCGAAGCTGAGGTTCGAGCCTGGCAGTCTGACCCCAGGGTCGTGGGTGGAAAGGAGGGTTTCTCAGCATTCTGCGCCTGACGCGGCTCCACGCAGAGGAGGTCTGGAAGGTGGAGACGGGGAGGGTGAGGCCCTGTGTGCTGCTGGCCCTCGGAGTTCACAGGGTGGGCGGCCATGGGGACGGCTCCTTTCAGAGGGAAAGAGGAAGGAGGAGTGAGCCACATCCTCTGTGGCGTCCCTGGGGGATCCGGCCAGTAGCCAGCGGCCGGGGTTCCCAGGGACAGAAATATCCGGGTCCTGTGAAGCAGGCGGCATGCTCAGAGGCCCCACCCCGAGCCCATGGCACAGGGAAGACAGGCCTCAGGGCGCAGGGGTTTCGGAACCGCTCCTCAGCTCCTTCCCCACGCCGGCGGGGTGCAGGGGCCTGGCACAGGCCCGTGTTGATGGGTGCCACTCGCATCAGTTCTCTAACCAGACAGATCTGTACGTTCAGGCAGGAGGAGTGGGCACAGCAAGGCCTTTCCTGCCGCTGGGACCGCCTAGTTCTGTGGTGCGGCCTCCCCTGTGACGTCCTAGTGGTGTGGAGAGAGTGCATCCTTTTTCTGTCTAAGAGAGAAATGTTCCGTTGCAAATTCACTCTTCTTTGCAAACAAATTCACCCTTTTGCAAAGCAAATTCATCCTTTTGCAAAGCAATTCAACCTTGAATTTGCTTTGCAAAAGGGTGGATTTGAAGTGGACAGCCTGTGTCTTTAGGGGCTGCACAGGGGAGTGGCGGGCAGGACACTGGAATAACGCCAGCACCACGAGCCTCCTGAGACCTGAGCTGCAGAGGCAGCCGGGGTGCCTCTGAGCGGAAACACCTGTTTCCTGGGCTGGCCGTCCGCTCCAGGACCTGAGTGGAAATCTTACCTGGAGTCAGAGCCCTTCCCTCCTTCTCTGCTTTGTTTTAGCATCTTGATGGTTTTTTCATCACATGTGATAATACACTTACAACTCTTTGATGCAAATACAGCAGGGTTTATGATATGTGTTTGAACAATTTGATAAAGGAGCATTTTTAGCTAAATATCTAATTATTTGTGTATATATATATATATATATATATACACACACACACACACACACACACACACACGCACACACACACACACACACATCTTCCTTTATATCTTTACATAAATACTAAAGGCCAGTGCATGAAATTTGTGCATGGGGGTGTGTCCCTCAGCCCAGCCTGCACCCTCTCCAATCTGGGACCCCTTGACTGACCTTTTACCCTGGGTGGCCCATTGGGATGGGGCTTAAATAGGCAGTTGGACATCCCTCTCACAATCCGGACTGCTGGCTCCCAACTGCTTGCCTGCCTGCTTTCCTGATTGCCCCTAACCGCTTATGCCTGCCAGCCTGATCTTCCCCTAACCACTCCCCTGCCAGTCTGATTGATGTCTAACTGCTCCCCTGTCAGCCTGTTTGCCCCCAACTGCCCTCTCCTGCAGGCCTAGTTCCCCCCACACACACTGTTCCCCCCCAACTGCCCTCTCCTGCAGGCCTGGTATTCCCCAACTGTCCTCCCCTGCATACCTGGTCTCCCCTAACTGTCCTCCCCTGCAGGCCTGGTCCCCCCCAACTTCCCTCCCCTGCAAGCCTAGTACCCCCAACTGCCCTTCCCTTCAGGCCTGGTCCCCCCAACTGCCCTCCCCTGCAGGCCTGGTCCCCCCAACTGCCCTTCCCTGCAGGCCCAGTTGCCCCCAACTTCCCGTGGCCCCCCTGCCCCTCCTCTCCGCTGTTTCTCAGGGAATCCGATAGCTGTGGTCCTAGGTAGGGCCTTTGCTGTTGTGGTGTCTCTGCCCCTTGTTACCCACACCCTCCAGCCTCGTCTCCATCAAGCTTTCCCTCAGATATATCCTAGGAAGGTGTTTCCAGGCCGTCCTCAGTGAACCAGAGCCTCCCCCTCTCTGCTCCCTGCTCCCCTCTCCACACACCTACTCTCAGCGCTGGACCCTGGGGGCTCTCTGGGTTCTGTGTTTCTGCTGGGCACCAGCACTGCAGGCAGGGCGCTCCAGAGCCGGCCAGGTGCCTGCCCTGAGTGAGCCCGGTCGTTCACTCACGCAGGAGCCAACACGGACGGGTGGGTGAGGGGCGCATGGTCACAGGGCCGGGTCTCAGGGTCAGCCATCCCCACTTTCGCTGGCAGCATCGCCCCCATTTTAGGGGGACGTGTGGGCCTGGCCGAGGAGTCGGAGTGGGAGCCAGACCACGGCCCCGTCCTGCCACCGCTGCTCTCACCAGGACACGCCTCCCTCCCTGGTCTTTCCCGGCGGCTGTGCCCTGCAGCCACCAGCTTCTTCACCGCTTCAGTGTTCACACGCCAGTCTGGGCTGGAGCCGCACCTCCTGAGAGCTGTGGTTCCAGGACTGCGTCTGGCAGGGCCGTGGGGTGCGGGGTGGGGAGTGTCCGCTGTGCGGGGACGCCCCCCCCCCACCCGAGGGTGCAGGAGAGTCAGACCTCTGCTCTGGCCTCTTTATGCGGGGACCTGCTGGGGCTCCCCGTCCCTGTGGAGGGAGGAACCTGGGGGAGAAAGGGCGTCTGGGCTGTGGCCTGTGTCCCAAGGGAAGGGCTTGTTGAGTGTGAAAAACTACAAACGCTCCCAGCGGCCTCGGGGGCCCCGGCTCGCGCTCCCCTCGCCCCTCTGAGTGCGAGGAGCCTCGTGGGGCCTTGATGATGGGATTGCTTTCTCCTTCTCACTGTGTCCTTCCCCATAGGGGTGAGTCGGGAGCACCTGGGGGACGCCCTCTTGAGCTGTTCATTCCGAGCGAGGCGCGGGCCTGTCCGCGGGGCCGGCTGAGCTGGAACAAACTGGATCCCGGTGTGGCCAAGTCCAAGTCCAACAGCCCCGCCCAGGGGGAGCCCGCTTCGCCCGCCAGGTCCTGGCAGGACGCCGCCCGGAAAACAGACCTCGCTGTGAGGGCGGCCGGCGCTCCTGGCAGCGGCTGTGGAGGCGGCGAGCGGCCGGGTCACCCTGATGCCGGGACCGGGCGTGATGCTCTGAGCAGGCCGAGGTGGCTTTGGTGTTAACGTGTTCCTAATGGAGCAGAGACCCTCCGAAGGAATAGTCTGACTGTGTGGCAGGAAGCGCTTGGTCTGCGCTGGCCAAGGAGCAGGAGCCGAGCAAGCCCTCCAGCTCCTGGCGCCTCCCCTGGCTCCCTGGCCATTGGCACGTGAAGCACCGATCCCAGGGGCTGGAGACAGGAAGGTGACGGTGACCCCGAGCTTCACCTCGAGGTTCAGAGGCTGCTGATGCTCTCGGCGTGTCGCCCAGCCAGAGGGGATGGGAATGGACTCCCCTCACCCGGGATGTTCCCCGTGGGACCCAGGCTCTCCGCTACGTGACCTGTGTCTCCGGCGGCCTTTAAAGGGAATCTGGGGAGCAGCTGCGGAGGCTCCGGGGCTGAGCACTGACCCATGAACCAGGAGGTCACGGTTCTATTCCCGGTCAGGGCACAGGCCTGGGTACAGCTCCATCCCAGTGTGGGGCGTGCAGCAGGGCCATCCATGATTCTCTCTCGTCACTGATGATTCCTTTCCCTCTGAAATCAATAAGAATGTGTCTTAAAAATAGGATAAAGGGCCCCTGGTGGGCGTCTCGCAGTGACCACGTCTGACGCAAATCCCATCTCTGCGCTGGGCAGACAGCTGAGTGAGGAGCAGAGCCCCTGTGCTGGACGAGGTGCAGAGACGCTGCCCCGGGCAGGGCAGAGGGGTTCTGTGAGCGAAGGGACAGGAATAAACAGGAGGATGAAGAGTTGTGCCAAGCATTCCCCGGACGCAGCCAGCGGGTGGGTCGCTCCCCGGGGCGTTGTGAGGGCAGGGAGGCCACTGGTCCGGGGCTGGGTGTGTCCTGCCCCGTCTGGGGGCATCCGTCCTCTCACAGCACCCCGCAGACAGTCACACCTCAGCCTGCGCCACCGTCACCGAGACAGCAGGCCCTGCACACGGACCGCCAGCAATGACAAGTTCACGTTTCACCTTTAAATCCTGTTTTGAAAACCGACTAAAATTTACGTACAGTGAAAGACACGGATCTGCATGTACAGTCTGATGCATTTTGACCAGCGTGTTTACATCTGTGTGGCTGACACCCCCGTCAAGAGCTAGAACATGTACCCTCACCCCAGTCAGCCCCCCGTGGCTCTAACTGCTGTCACCCTGTGGCTCTTCCTGCAAGAACTGCTTACTTTTGAAATGGCACCATTATCTGCTTCTCCCTGAAATGTAGGACTTTTTTATGTTGCATGAGTGATTCTTGGCCACAAGAAAGTGTCATGAGATTTATAATCGCAGTCAAAGAAAACACCACTCTGGATTCATCTTTGTTTCTCAAAGTTCTCATGTTGAAATTGTTCCATTGCGTTGGGTGGGAATATGTATTAACCATGAGAGCGTGTTGTGGGGGTGTGGGGAGACAGCCCTGAATGCACTGGGGCCCGGGCTGGGTGATTCTGTATGGAATGGTGCTCAGAGTCTGCTCGCGGCAGGCCTGCCCGCATTTTGCCCTGGGCTGCCTCCTGCATAGTCCCTCCTGGGGACCAGGCCCGAATCCTGGGCCTGTGACCCGTGCGGGGCTCTCACCGGCCACCTCTTGGTTTATGGAAGGATGCCCAACCACTGAGCCTCCCTGACCGGTCACAGCTGAGCTTTCACATGGCCTCATTACCATGTTCTGGTTGACAACGACATGGTGTTTACCATCTTGCTCTCTGTAATTTTTCTATATTTTTTAAAATTAGAAGCTGAAATACCCTGTTTCTCCGAAAATAAGACAGTGTCTTATATTAATTTTTGCTCCCAAAGATGCGCTAGGTCTTATTTCCAGGGGATGTCTTATTTTTCCATGAAGAATACGGTACACATTTATTGTTAAATGAAAATAAAGGAAATTTATTACCTGTATACGGTACGGTAGTATGGTAGTTGTCAACACAAACCAGACAAACTGTGAATCCTACAGTATCAAGAATTTACTCATTTATTCAATGACAATCATGTCATCATCTTCTTGAACATCATCATAACAATCCAGTTCCTGAATTTCCTGGTGAATTTCTTGTGACTCCATTTCTTTCAGAATCAGTGGACCAAATCTCTCATGTTTAGCCTAGGGGGGCCTTATTTTTGGGGGGATGCCTTATATTTCACTCAGAAGGAAACCTGTAAGTAGGTCTTATTTTCGGAGGATGTCTTATTTTCGGGGAAACACGGTAGTCGCAGGCTTTTCTCTTCCATTCTCCCGAAGTCCCTGTGGGCTGTGCTAACTTCATAAGTAACGCTGATGAAGAGCACAGACTCAGCGCCGCCCTGCAGCCGCTCGGTGTGGGCAGATCTCTTAGTACCAAGCCCACGGCAGAGGGACGCGGGCAGATCTATTAACTCTCGCTCAGATGTGGGTTGTCCAGTAAGTTCCTCAGCCTAAACCGTGACCCCGGACACGGCTCCCTGGTCACCCACAGCACCCGCCCGACATGGGTGCGTCAGGACAGCGTAGAGGCCCAGGCCACTGGCAGGGCAAGACCTATGCCGGGTCCTCGGGAAGCAAGCTGGCTGGACACTCGGGATGTGTGTGAGCAGAGGCTCAAGGCCCAAGGCCTCGCTGTCAGGTGTCTGGCGTTAGGACTGCCACACGGGACTCAGGGTCTGCGGGCCGTTCTTTGGAGACGAGAGAGAGGAAGGTCATAGTTCAAGGAAATCCGTGATCAAAGGGTGCAGGATTCTAACTCAAAGGCCACGTAAGTGATCTCAGTGCAAGTTGAGGGTGTGGAATCCATCTGCAATTTTTATCCTGGATGGATGGATGGATGGGTGGATGGTAGATGGGGGGAAGGTGGGTAGATAGATGGATGGATGGATGAGTGGATGGGTGGATGGATGGGGTGGATAGATGGGTGGATGGGTGGGGTGGATAGATGGATAGATGGGTGGATGGATGGGTGGGTGGATAGATGAATGGATGGATGGGTGGGTGGATGGGTGAGTGGGTGGAGCATTAAAACATTTGAGTGATGGGGTAATTTGTATGCCCAAAGCAGTGTCCCAGGAAGATAGAGCTGGCCTCATGTCAGAGATGGACTAACAGCAGGAAAGCCATCAGCAGTGAGATGCAAGGCTTCGGAGAGAGTGAGGTCTCACTGGTGAAGCGGATGCAGGATGGGGCGCAGAGGGTGAGAGGTAAAGAGGAGTGTGAGAGCAGCTCTAATGGGCCGACTGAGTGCCGCGCTGCCGTGAAAGTCTGTGGGGATGCGGTGTCTTAGATCCACCCAAATGCGCCGTCGTACGGTGTGGCGGCCGGAGCCCAGACTGCTCTCCCGGCTAACCTCGGTGGGCGGGCTGGGCTCCTGGGCTGAGGCCAGGAGGAGCCCTCCTCTTGCCTGCAGGCTGCCCATCCCTTAGCGAATGGCTCTTCCTCTGCCGTCAGCCCTGTGGTCCCGCTCTTCCCATCTCTGACCGGCTGTCCCGCCTCCTGCTCCAGCCCCGGGCCCCCACTCCCCGCACGACTCGGGTGTCTACCTCCAGACCTTCCACTGAACGCATCTGCAGAGTCCCTTTTGCCACGTAAGGGGCCTCTTCCCAGTTAGGATGAGGCCGTGTGGGGGGCCATTGTTTGCCTGCGGCGTGCAGGTGTCTGTAACGTGAGGACTGCCTGGGGTTTGGAAGAGACGGACCCTGCACGGGTGGGCCACGTCTGCCTCTCACCTCCTGTTAGTGGCCTGTAAAATGGGGTGGCGAAGGGGGTCTCAGGGGACTCCCTCCCGAGCCTCACACTGACTGGAACGTCACCGTCATGGCATCTGCCACCTGTCTTGTTCCGCCCGTGTCTTCATTGCCTAGAACAGGGTCTGGTCCGTAACCGGCGCCCGGAAACCATTTGCTGAATAAAATACCTGTTTCTGAGTGGATGACTGAGCCCAGGGGATGTTTGAAAAGACTCGAGGGGTCTTCCACCACTCCTGTACATGAAGGTCTCGGTTTTGGGGTGAAGCAAGGTCTTGGCTTGGGTTCCGGGGGGAGGGGGGGGAGCCTGGAACCCCGGCATCATGAGGGGACCCCCTGTGGGAGAGGGTGGCTCAGGGGGTCCGTTCTTCTCTCTTCACTTCACCCCCGTGCCCGTAGCCTGAGGACGAGAGAGAAGGCCGCAGTGCTGGGCGCCAGGAAGGGCCTGGGCAGCTGCTGAGCTGCGATGGCCAGTCGGCGCTCTGGGAGGCCAGGGGAAGCCCCAGGTCAGAGGTGGTGTGGGACCAGGAGGCAGACACTGGCACACTCCCGGGGAGGGGGCCGTGGTGGAGGCTGCAGCTCGCTCGGCTGCGGGGCTGAGCTCAGGCTGCAGCCGCAGTGGTTGTGTTGGAAGCACCTGCAGAAATCGGCGGCAGACGCACCGGTGAACTCACCGATCATTCCGGACACTTTTCTCTCCTCACACAGGTGGTTGGCGTCGCCCAGGCTATCAACAAGAAGTCGGGAGACGGCGGGACGTTCACCGAGAAAGATGAGAAGGTACCGGAGTGCGTGTGTGTCTGGTGCGATGTCTCCTCAGAGGGAGCTGCTGCTGACACGCCCGTCACTGAACACCCTGTGGGTTCACATGATCCGAGATGGTCAGGATGGCTTCCTGTGCAGACAGTGACCTGCAGGGGGGGCTGTGGTACCTCCTCAGTCAGCCCTGCCCTGTGTGACCACGCCTCGCCCACAGCACGTGTGTGTGTGTGTGTGTGTGTGTGTGTGTGTGCGCGCGCGCGCACGCATTGGGGCCATACAGAGGGTGACGTGGACTTTTAGTTTGCTCTCTACCTTTCATCACTGCGATTAAGAAATTTAGCCTTGCCCTAACCGGTGTGAGTGGATAGAGCGTCAGCCTGCAGACTGAAGGATCCCAGGTTTGAGTCAGATCAAGGGCATATACCTTGATTGCAGGCACATCCCCAGTGCAGGAGTGGGTGAGGAGGCAACTGATTGATGTTTCTCTCTCATCAATGTTTCTGACTCTCTATCCCTCTCCCTTCCTCTCTGAAATCAATAAAGATATATTTTAAGGAAGGGAGGGAGGAAGAGAGGGAAAGGAGGGAGGAAGGGAAGGGAAGGGAAGGGAAGGGAAGGGAGGGAGGGAGGGAGGGAGGGAGGGAGGGAGGGAGGGAGGGAGGGAGGGAGGGAGGGAGAAAGAGAAGGAGGGAGGGAGGGAGGTAGTCTTGCCCTGGCTAGCATATGCTGGGGTTATGGGTTAGATCCCCAGTGTGGAGCGTGCAAGAGGCAGCCAATCCATGAATCTCTCTCATCATTATTTCTATCTCTCCTTCTCCTTCTCCCTTCCTCAATAAAAATGTACTTAAAAGAAAAAAAAGGAAGTTCAGCCTCGAGTGAAATCCCTGGAGCCGTGCTCCAAGGTCAGCACCCCCGGTCAGCTGGGAGTTGGGCCTGCCCTCCCATGAGGCCCCGTCACGGTGTCCTCTAAGCTTGGCACAGGGACTGGGGTGCCAGTGTGCGCACTCGGCGGGCATGTGAGCCGGCTCCGGAAAGAGGCAGTCCCATCGTCCTGTGACAGGCATAGGCCACGCCTGTCTCACACCACCTGCTTCCGCTCCAGGACCAGCCCACACGCCTGGTCACGGCGGCATCCACTGGAGGGTTTGCCATTCCTGTTCGTGAAGGCCAGGGGCCCCCCAACTCCTCCTACTCAAGCCCAGTGCTGTTTCCGTCACTCCCTGAAGGTTAGGCCTTTGGGAGACAAGACGGGAGTGTCTTCTGTGTCCAGGCCGGGGTTGGACTGGCCCTAGTGTCGGTCTCCATGTCTGAGCTGCTCAGAACAGAGCGCCTTTATAGTCGGTCCTGGGGCATCTACTCTCCCACCTGAGAGTGCTTGCTAGACACGTGGCTAGGGTTAGGGTTAGGGTTAGGGTTAGGGTTAGGGTTAGGATCTAGGGTTTAGGGTTAGGGTTAGAGTTAGGATTTAAGGTTAGGGTTAGAATTAGGGTTAGGTTTAGGGTTAGGATTTAGGGTTTAGGGTTAGGTTTAGGGTTAGGGTTAGGATTTAGGATTTAGGGTTAGGTTTAAGGTTAGGATTTAAGGTTAGGGTTAGGATTAGGGTTAGGATTTAGGGTTTGGGGTTAGGTTTAGGGTTAGGATTTAGGGTTTAGGGTTAGGATTTAAGGTTAGGGTTAGGATTAGGGTTAGGTTTAGGGTTAGGATTTAGGGTTTAGGGTTAGGTTTAGGGTTAGGATTAAAGGTTAGGGTTAGGATTAGGGTTAGGATTTAGGGTTTGGGGTTAGGTTTAGGGTTAGGTTTAGGGTTAGGATTTAGGGTTTAGGGTTAGGATTTAAGGTTAGGGTTAGGATTAGGGTTAGGTTTAGGGTTAGGATTTAGGGGTTAGGGTCAGGGTTAGGCCAGCTTTCTTGCCATTGTCCGTTTATAGCCCATCCTTGTGAATCCTCTGGAAAGGATGGTCTCCTTAGGTTGTGGATCCAGCATGCCAGGTAAAGAACTAGTTTAACCAACAAGCAGTATAAGTGAGGACATCACCTGAGTATAGTACGTTGAGGAATAGTTACCTGTTGTAAGGAGCACAATTCAACTAAATCTGCAGCCTTCGAGGGAGTGGATTGCCAGCTTCTCCTAAGGCGCATGGGAGCTTTCTCTGCCGGGAAGAAGTTATAAGCTACTTGCATCTTCTCAGCATGGATCCGCAACTTACCGTCAGTCAGAGACCACCCTGGGTTTTTGCACAGAGCAGGTTTCCATTTCCAATGAAGAGACCAGGTCTCGGGACCCACCCTCTTTCTCCTTGTTCATGTCTACCTCACTTGTGACCTAGGAGGCTGCGTTAGTGCTTGTCACCCACTAGGGAGTGCCATGTAGCTTACACCCGCTCTGCCTCATATCCTAGTTTTATGCAGAATACACCTCTCCTTGGGCTCCCGGTATTTATGTCCACTCTGCATAACTTTGGGTGCCCCTTGCGTTCCAAGCAGCACCCCCAGACCGGAGGGTGGGTAGACGGCTCTCACTCAGTGTCGTCTGGCCCGTTTCCTAGGACTTCGCTGCGTACTTGGCATTCTGTGGCATCGTCCTGCACAACGCACAGCTCTACGAGACGTCGCTGCTGGAGAACAAGAGGAACCAGGCAAGTCCGGGGCCCAGAGCAAGAGCTCAGAGATCCTTCCTAAACGTGTTAACGTTTGTCTAACGTATGTGTGTGATTTCTAGCCAATCTGTGTGCGTGACTGAAAACCCCGACAGCACAGATTCCGTTTCTAAACACGTGCGTTGTTCCCTCTAACAGTTCCTTCTGTTTCCTTCCCACGTTCGCTAGTGTGAGCGTGGTTCAGTGTTCACAATGAGCAGGGGAGGGTATTTGGCTCACACCACCCTTTGCTCACAGGACCCTTAGCCGACCAGCTCCATCGGTCACTGCTGTGAGTCATGGGCTGCATTTGTCGTGTTAAAAAAAAGGCTTTCTGTTCTTGCTCCATCGACTACAGACATCATCTCTTGGTTCCATGCTTCGTAAGACTGGAACCTCAGCCTCTCTCATCTCTCCTTCCCAACCACTGCTCCTTACCTCCGCTTTCCCTTCTGCGCTTTTTCTTTTATGCTGCCCACACAGATGACATACATACAGTATTGTCTATAGCCATGATTAACGGTGTGGGTTTTTGTGGTTTCTTTTTTATCTTTTGTCTAGGTTAATTCTAAAGTTGCAATTTCAAATAAGATGTTTAAGCACTGTGACTGTGAAAATGTTGCTCGTGTCAGTTTTTCTGGGTGTTTCTGAATTCCATCCTTTTTCCCTCACCCTGTTTGCTCTGGTGTCATCACATGCTGCTGGCCCGCCCACACCGAGACTCTCCACGACTTAGGCATTCTGTGGAGTTCTTTTTCTCGGAGATTGCCAAGCGGATGTTCTTCATCTTGCCTCTTCCAAGCCACGCCATTCCCCCCAGGGCTGCTGCCCAGGTGTCAGCATAGCACTGCCCTTCATGCTCAGGCTCCTCTGCAGCCACGAATCCTGCAACTCCTCCCTCAGCTCCTTCCCTTGTTGTATTGCTGCGTGTTCTCAAGTAACTCCATGAGGCAAGCCTTCAGAACCCTGCCAGTTTTGCTGGGTACAGAATTCTCAAATGAAAAAAATCAGTTTCTCAGATTTTAAAGGTAGTGGTTTGCCTTCTAACTAGTACCCATGTTGTTCTGATTCTTGGCTCTTTGTAGGTTTGTTTTTTTTAAATGTCTGTAAGCTTTTTGGATTGTTTCTTTATCTTTGCTTTGTTAACTTAATTTCACAGTTTGACTTTTCTTCCCTTTTAAGCCTGGGACTTATGCTCTTCTGTTTTACGTGATACTTTTTCATTATTATTTATTTGATAACTAATCTCCTTGGCTGTCTATTTTTTCTCTTTTGAAAATTAATATTTATTGTATTAATAAGATATTGGACCTTCCATTGCCTTCAACTGCAGTATCTCCCTGACTGTCCCCATGCTCCATGCTTATCATCCATTCACCCAGTCCTCGTGGTTATGAACACAACTGTAACTTGTCACTTTCTTCCTGCAAACTGTCACCATCCAAACTGCTCCAGGAGACACACAGGGTCTGGGGTTGTTTCTCTGCTTCCCTCTCCAGCCTCCTCTGCCCGGCTCTCCTCTTCACACTCCAGAGGCACGTGAAACCTGATCGAGACCAATAGTGTGCTGCTTTCTCTCAGCTCAGTTCTTTCCGACTGAAATACCTCCTCCCCCACTTCACCATAATGATTTCTCCTCTTTCAGGCCTGGCCTGGGACAGTATCGCCTCCAATAAATGTTCTGTAATACACTTTCTATCCCCTCATCACACACATGTTTTGTGAAATTGGATGAAATTCTGTGAGATACAAAGGAAAGAGAAATTACCAGGAAAATTAAAAAAATAACTCTTAATACTTTGTTTACTTTAGACAGTATTTAATATGTCCTGTGAAAATGTCAATAAATGTTAATACACACTTACTATTTATTAACAACGTGTTTTATGTGTCTATACTGTTCAAAATGCATTATAAATGTTAACTCACTTAGTTTTTACAGCATTCCTATTTGGTACTACTGTTATCCCCATTTTCAAGAAATTTCCCCTAAATTACAAAGCTGACAGGAAGGGAAGGTGGAATTAAAATCTAAAGACTCTGGCTGGGTTAAGAGTCTTTGATAGAACCACTGTACTAACTGTAATAACAATTGTTAGTAAGCAGAATGCAAACTTGCTCGTAACTTTGTTAGGTTAAATATATATAGACAATTTATAGTTCATATATATATATATATATATATATATATATATATACACACACACACACGCACACACACACGCACACACACACACACACACATATATATATACACACATATATATATCATTATATTGCTTCAGTGTTTGCAATCAATCCTCCTATAATAAGAGCCTAATGTGTTAAGTGTCCTTTCAACTGGTTATCCATTCAACCAATCCAAAGCAAAATATGGCCGCTCAACTGCCCACTATGGCATGCACTGGCCACTGGGGGCAGATGCTCCAACCGGTAGGTGACTGGCCAATTGGGACTCAGTGAGACGGCCTGGACATGCCCTGGAGCCCTCCTGCTGTCCCTCCCCAGCTGGTCAACCCTCCCCGGCCCCATTCGTGCACCCTCTAGCAATCCGGGACCCCTTACGGGATGTTGGAGAGCTAGTTTCAGCCCAATCCCTCAGTCCATGCTGAGGGACCCCGCCAGTGCAGCGGCCTCTGTTTAGTAACCGTGAGGTGTGTGGTGTCTCTGCCAGGTGCTGCTGGACCTGGCCAGCCTGATCTTCGAGGAGCAGCAGTCCCTGGAGGTCATCCTGAAGAAGATCGCTGCCACCATCATCTCCTTCATGCAGGTGCAGAAGTGCACCATCTTCATCGTGGACGAAGACAGCGCCGTGAGTACAGAGCGCAGCTCCGTTCCCGTTAGGAAGACAGGAACGGGGAGTCCTCGGGCCGCTGCACCTGAACCCCATGTTTGCCTCAAACCCTCTCTCCAACCCTGTGGTGGGTCATGCAAGGCTGATGACAGGGCCCGTCCTGGTTGAAGACAGGTGGGGGTGGGGGAAGTGCCTCCTTGTCCCTCCTCAGTGGCCACCGGGGCGTGTCCTGTGCTGGCTGTGTCAGGCTCCGTGGCTCCGTGAGGAACGCACTGTCGTTATTGCTGACCTTCTGTGGCTGGGAGAGCGGTGCCCGCTGCTAGGAACAGGGAGACCCCAATTCTGAACGGGCTGGGTAGCACATTTTATTTTATTTTATTTATTTTATTTTTTAAATAGGTTTCTCACTTCATTTCTTAAATATATTTGCATTAATTTCAGAGAGGAAGGGAGAAGGGGAGAGAGAGAGAAACATCAGTGATGAGAGAGAAACATTGCCTGGCTGCCTCTTGCACACACCCCTACTGGGGATCGAGCACAAAACCCAGGCATGTGCCTGACCGGGATTCAACCCAGGACCCTTCAGCCCACAGGCCGACACTATCTACTGAGCCAAACTGGCCAAGGCCACATTTTCTTTCGACGGAATTGTTTAAAAACCAAAGGCATGTCCGATAGAGGCCACATTAATAGAGCTGCCCGTGGGTCCCTGGTCCTTTACCAACATGGGAAACCACTAACTGGTTCTGAGTGGTAGATTTCAATCCACTGACTGTAATGTAAAGAAAGGGATGTGTGCCTGAGCCAGTCTGGCTCGGTGGGCAGAGTGTTGGCCTGCACACTGAAGGGTCCCAGTTCAATTCTGGTCAATGGCACGCACCTCGGTTGCAGGCTTTTCCCTGGCCCAGGCCCTGGTCAGGGCTCCTGCAGGAGGCAGCCCATGGATGTGTTTCTCTCACATGGATGTTTCTCTCTGTCTTTCCCTCTCTCTCCCACTCTCCCTTAACATCAATGGGAAAATAGCCTCGGGGGAGGATTCAAAAGAAAAAGAAAAACAGAGATGTGTGGGAGGTGGTTCTTGTCGGAGGCTGGTCACCTCGCGATGGGCCGATGGGCCCGCTGAGCTGCCGTTAGAATCCCGGCCGGCCGAAGGCTCTCTTCCTTCCTGCCGTTTCTCCCCTCCCAGCCCCTGACCCACTGCTGCCGGGCGTTCTATTGGACGCCGTTGTTCATCTTCCTTCCGCGTTAGATCCTGGCGAGAGGCTCCTTATGGGGGGCTAGTGGGAAAGAGGGGGGTTACCACTGGCATCGGCCAGCTGCCACTTGTGTGTGATAGCTGAGTTCATGTTTTTGGGAGGAAGCGGAACAAACTATATTTAATGCTTATATTTAACATTTTTTAGTTGTTTTAGATAGTAATATTGCACTGTAGGACCCAACAGCATCTGAATCAGTGTGTGTGTGTGTGTGTGTGTGTGTGTGTGTGTGTCTCATTAATAGGATATCTATTAGGAACTCACTATCCTGTAAGATAACCAATATTCTCATAGACACTGCTTCATGTGCTTCATCAGCCATAAAACCTGCAATGGGAAATGATTATAAGATAGGAGCTATCTTTTAAAGTTCGGGTCGGCACTCAGCAATGCAGGCTGTCAGCCCACCAGCTTCCCTGCCACTGCTCTTTAGCATTACTGTGTGCAAGTTACACTCGAGGCCCTCCTTCTTCAGACAACGTAACTGTCGCTGGATCAGCGTTTGGCTCACACGTCCCTGGTTCACCCCGTCATGGCAGCGTCTGACTGGGCTCCCTGGCGCTTTGAATAAAGCCCGGCAGCCTGCCCGCTAATGCCCTTTGCTCACTTTTTTTTTTTTTTAATATATTTTATTGATTTTGTACAGAGAGGAAGGGAGAGAGATAGAGAGTTAGAAACATCGATGAGAGAGAGTCATCGATCAGCTGCCTCTTGCACACCCCCCACTGGGGTTATGCCCGCAACCAAGGTACATGCCCTTGACCGGACCTTTCAGTCCCCAAGCCGATGCTCTATCCATTGAGCCAAACCGATTTCGGTCCTTTGCTCACTTTTAACAACTCGGTTGTTGGGATCAGATAGGGAATTAAGGGACTTGATTTATATTGCAATTAGTTACCAGTTAAAAGTATTTCCACAACTTGAGCCAAACCCGAAACGTGAGCAAGGAAAACAATGTGCTCCTCTCTCCTGCCCCTTCCCCCCACCTTAGCCAACATCAGTGTTTTATTCCCACTTCCTTCTGATCCTTCATCCAGGCGTGAGTGCCTGCCTTTTAGTGTAACTTCAGAAGTGTTTCTCTATGTTGCTCAGATCTCCCCGGCTATTTGGAGCCCACAAAATATTACTGACTGGTGGGACTTTAAAAAGCCATTCTTCTCCTGGGATCTAGCAGCAGTATCAGTGTCTGCATAAGAGCAGAAACTGGAGGGTTTTGAAGAAATAGAGAGAAATTTTGAAGCTAACATTTATTAATACCTAGTGGGGGGGGGGGGGGCCAGATAAGCCTTCTGGCCCGGGGAGATCAGAATTACAGGAATGGCCTTCGGAGCGCGGCGCGGTGAAGTGTGTGCTGGTCCGGGCCCTGGAGAGGACGTGCACAAATGTGAAAACCATCAGCGCGGCCGCTCCTTGGCCCGGGTCTGTGCCTCCTCACGCCCACTCCGCCTCGTCCCTGTGTTCCCAGGACGCCTTTTCCAGCGTGTTCCACATGGAGCGGGAGGAACTGGAGCGAGCGCCCGGCACCGGAACAAGGTAAAAGATCGCGTGCAGACCAGCCGCAGCATCCTTCCGTGACCCCACTAACTCAACACGGAGATGCTGCTGGCCTTTCTGTGCTAAAGCCCGGGCTTTGTGCCGTGTTCTGTGTGTGTTCACTCCAGCCGAGGATTCCTTCCGGAGCGAGTGGCCACAGCACAGGTGGGGCAGTGCGTCCTGTGAGCGGGCCCACCATTGTCTGAATCAGTCTCTGTATCACAGGTTCATTTCCTCCCAATCATTTTTCCAGAAATCGCTGACATGATATCGTTCGATCGTGGAAATGCATTATCTGAACAACATCCCTGCCTTCCACCCGTGGGCTTCGGGTTGGATCGCCTTGGTGAGGGGCGGAGTTTTTCATTCTCAGGACAAGCACTGATCTGTATTACTTTGATGTCAGGATGCTGTGAAATTTTTATTGCTTTTTTATAAAGAGCATTTTAGAAAGCTTCTAGATAAGACACATAAATATCAGGCCAGATTATTTTTTGGCTTGCGTACATAATGAATTTATATAGGTACAGATATAAACATGTATATTTAAGAGTTTCCATATGTTATGGGGTTAGGAAATGGGTGTGATAGGAATATTCAATATGTAAAACTATGAAGTACCCACATTTGTCTTTGAATATTTGTGCAGCAGCTTGTATGTGTAATTATTTTCATTTGCATTTTGAGTTTTATTATTAATTCAGCGGGGTCCTCTAACTCCTGGTATGATAGCTGAACTAGCCCAGTGACTTGGTGTAATAGTGACCCCTACTGGTGAATATGTTTTTTTTCTTAATCTTACTGTACAGCATCTTTACTTTCTTATTCTATGATATATTTGATTTGTTCCTGGTGAATACCATATTCTCTTTCTGTAAGCAAAATGGAGGAAATATTTTCATTTATGTTTTTAATCCCTTCAAAACAGTCTTGGTATAAATATACTTTCTTTAAAAAAAAATAGTTAGTTGGATATGATTACCTTAAAGGAAACTAATTCGCATCATCATTTAAACTGATTCATTAACTGATTTTACAGTAGTGAAAATTATTTAATACTAATGCCTTATTTCCGCTAAACATTTTTAACTTAACTGATATTCTAATGATGCAATTAAAGACCTCTTAGTGATTTAAAAAAAATTAGATATGAGGCTGAGTTTTGCAAAAACTGTGACTAGAATTATGTTTAATACCTTCTGCATCTTGACAAAGGACTGGCCTGGTGCTCGCAGTCACCTTCAGAGTCTTCATCCTCTTCCTGAGATCGCTTATTGACAGACCGTGGGCCCTCCCGCCCTCACTAGGCCACACCTTGCAGGCCAGGGGGTTTACAGTAAACGAGCGCCCGTGGAGGGAGAGGGGAGCCGTGAGCAAATCATTCCTTCTAGGCAGCGTGTGTCCACTGCTTCAAGCCTGGCTCATGTGGTACCTTCCCACCAGCCCACTTCCCTTTGTCAGTGAAGTCATGTGTAAGCGGCAGCTTCGAAGTGTTGAGTGTGGAACACTCAGGGTGCTGGTGATGCGGAATCATTAGCCAGAGTCTTCACTCTGGGGTCCAGGGTGCGGGTGCGAGGGAGGGTCTGGAGCCTGGGCACTGCCCAGCAGTGTGTGCAGCTGAGCGCCAGACCACGGCTGCCGTGACAGCGATGACCCGCCCAGTGACCCGGGGCAGGCTCGCGGGATGCTGACCGGGCCTCCGGGCATCGGACATTCAGGCTGCACCCACCAAGCATGGGAGGAAGCGAACTCAGCCCTCAACGAGAGGAAAGTGCGATCGCAGAACCAGTACCCCCAATGCCACTCTTCCCCGAAGCGACCCTTAGGACACTGGGAAGCTTCGGGGATTAACAGACCGGGTCTCTCTCACTTTAAAAGAAACGTCCATGTTTCTGCTTCTCTACGTGAACGTCTCTCAGTCGGGTTTTATTCTCCGCAGCAGGTGCATAACTATTTTGGGTTCCTTCGGCTGTGAACAGGATGGTGATAGGATAATAAAAGCCGTGAACGGTGTTGTTATCACTTCCTCTCCGCCCCTTCTCTCTGGCAGTGACCTCGGCTTTCCTTATCTCCCCGAAAGCCTGCTTTCTGTCCGGGACTCTCCTGCTGGCAGAGTGCTCGCACTTTACAGCTTGTTACTGAGCCTAAAGCCCAGGCTTATCCGGGCTTTTCCTGGGTTCCCTCCAGACTACTGGGGCGCAGTGGAGTGGCTTTTCGAGTCCTCCTTCTCTTTCACCCCCACGGAACACCGGCCGCGTGAGCCCTGGGAACGTATTCTAAGTTTATGAGAATCTCTGCAGAAGATGAATGTTTATGATTTTAAAAGTATAAAAGGTCTCCAAGGAAAGAGGCGCGAGCGAGCATGCTGGGTAAAGTCTCCGCATGTCGCTCCCCGGGTTTGGGATGGGGGTGGTCGTGGGGCGGGCACGTGGAGAGATTCCCTGCGGAGGAAAAGGCTGGCCTCGGTCACTGTCCCGGGTGAAACAAGGCCTGGCCGGAGTCCAGGCGGGTTTACAGTGAACGCACAGATGCCAGCAGCCCGTTCGCACGGCCAGGAGGCTACCGGGACGTTTACAGACTCGCTGGGGACCGTTGGAAAGTTGTGGGTCTCCGTCTTCCAGAACGGTTCAGTTACAGGAACACCAAAGCTGAAAGGCAGGCCGCGCATGGGAGCCGCCTTTCCCGGTGGGACACGCGCGCCCAGCGGTCTCAGGCTGGTGTCCCCGCGTGTCCGTGTCTGGCCGCTGCCCAGAGCCCACGCGTTCCTCCCACAGGGAGCAGGACGCTGGCCCCGTCAACTACCTGTTCGCGCAGTACGTCGCCCGCACCATGGAGGCGCTCAGCATCCCGGACCTCAGCAAGGACCGGAGGTTCCCCTGGGCGGTGAGTACCGGGGCGGCTGGAGGAGGGTGGCCTCCCTGTCCGTGCTCACGGGGTCCCCATGGCAGGACTGGCCTGGAACGGCCTCTGTGGGAGCCGGGAGCCGGTCAGCGATGCTTGAGTACTTCCGGTGTCCTTTTATCAGTTTTTCAATAACTCATTGGACATGAGATGATGGATCTATTGCCTACTTCATGCCAGTAATGGCCCGGAGACAGGATTGCTAGCCTTTGTGGGTTTATCCTCAAAGTGTAAGATTCCCGTGGCTTGAAGGGACGTAGCTGGTGGTCTACCACGTGGAGCAGCTCCGTGGAGAAGGAAGGTCTGTGTTCCCTGACAAGAAGGCTGCAGCCGAAACCGGTTTAGCTCAGTGGATAGAGCTTCGGTCTGAGGACTGATGGGTCCCAGGTTTGATTCCGGTCAAGGGCATGTACATTGGTTGCGATCACATCCCTAGTGGGGGGGGGTGCAGGAGGCAGCTGGTTGATGATTCTCTCTCATCGATGTTTCTAACTCTCTATCCCTCTTCCTCTCTGTAAAAAATCAATAAAATATATTAAAAAAAAAAAAAAAAGGCAGCAAAGACCCTTTCTCAGCCATGGGAAGCTTTGGATCCTGGCGTTTTCTCTCCTTTACTCCAGAGAAGCCTTGCATGTGGAGGCAGCTGCCTTGCTGCTGTTCTCTCACCTCTCAGAGGCCTCTCAGAGGTCAGCATGTGGGCAGCGTCCACAGAGGGCCAGTGTGGTGCATGTGAGGTCTGGGGCAGGGAGGGTTCGACTCTTCTGGTTCTGCTCCTCTTGTTAAGCTACCAGAGACGCCTCCTCCAGGCACAGTGCATGCCAGCCCTGTAAGCTGCTGAGAACATTTGAAATAGGGAAAAAAAGAAAACTAGATCATCTGTATGTCCTCACCTGATTGATGTTTTTAGAGAGAGTAGGAGGGAGTGGAGAGGGAGAGAGAGAGACACATGGGTGTGAGAGAGGTCCATCGATTGGTTGCCTTCTGCACGTGCCCCAATTGAGCCTGCACCCGAGGCACATGCCCTTGAATAGGAATCAAATCTGTGACCCTTTGGTCTGTGGGCCAACTCTCTAACCACTGAGCCAGACCAACCAGGGCTAGGTCATTTGTATTTTAACAATATAAAGACTAACTGCTTTCCATTGCCTTCATGTGAATACCATTGTACATGGTGCGTTTTCTGCACTCTTACCACTCCCGCTGATAGGATGGCTGTGTTAGTGGGCTCAGGTGTCCAATGTAGTTTACGTAACAGCATCTAATAGGAAAGTCACTCTTTTTGTAAGGTTTGCTTTTGCTTTGTTTAGAATGAAGGCATGGGGGGCGTAAGCCAGCAGGGCATTCGGAGTTTGCTTTGTACGCCCATCAAAAACGGGAAGAAGAACAAAGTCATCGGTAAGTAAGATTTCCATCACCCTCCACGCCGCCCTGACTGAAGAAAAAGATAACGCGTTCCCAGGAACTTCTGACTCTCAAGTGTAAATTGAAAGAATAAAATGTGTAAAAGATAAAAATGGAAATGAGAAAAGGATGTTCAGCTAACCACAGGCATGTGGTGCCTGTCTTACTAGCTATGATGTGCTTTCTGTAATGATTGGAATCCTGTTGTAACAGCAGTTTTGTTTAAGGATGATGTGTTGAGAGTTAGTAGACTAAGACACATCCAGTTGATAATGTGCATTGGCTTAGAGTCTCTTTTCTTGGTTTCTGGCTTTTCTTTCTTGAACACGTGCTTCAGATTGTAGGGTGTATTGATTCACTCATCAAGAGGATCTAGCGAGCACCCTCCTTCCCTAGGCTCTGGGGTGAAACAGTCAACGAGTGAGCAAAAGCAATTAAAAATGCCGGGGAAGCCATCGGACTTCCCGTGGCGTACGTCCTGTGGCCCCACCCGAGAACAGAGCGCAGGAAGCAGATGCTGTTTTTGGAGAGGAAAATTCCCTGTAAATAAGAAGGGTTTAAAAATGATTCCCCGGGTGGGGTTTTAGCGGGGGCTTGAGTTGGTTACAAGTCCAAGAAGGAAATTTCCTGTGTTCCCGCTACTCTGTAAGTGGGGCAGACAAAGAATGTCCGTGCTTGCCTAGATTTTGCACCCCGGAGGCAGCCTGGAGAACATCAGGGCGGTGGGTAATTCTTCTTGTCTGTCACAGACCCGATTCTGGAATCGTGTCCTTCTAATGGAGAATCCCCGCGGAGTTACACAGAACACAGGCGGGCCATGTGTTTTCTGTCTTCTCCCCTCCCTCCCCCCTCCCCCTGTCCCGTGGCCGAGGAGATGACATTACAGATGTCAGGCCGATGTGCCCGAGGCTTTGTTTCTCACACGTGTCTCCTCGGTGCTCTGGCTGAGAGTGTTTCCGCCACTTTGCTTCCAAAGGAAATACTTTCCTAGTCAACATTCATTTATTGAACCAACTAGTTTCCCTATTGATTAGGCTAAACATGCCTTTCCCCCATATTGTATTTGCCAGAAATTCTTCTGCCTGTTATTCACACCAACTCTCATTGTTCACACCAACTCCAATTGTTCTCCCCAATTCCTCCTGCTGTTCATACCAACTCCTATGGCTCACAGCAACTCCTCCCATTGTTTGCACCAGCTCCTTCCATTGTTCACACCACTCCAGGGCATTTTTTAAAAGGAATTCATCCCATCCAAAGAAATAAAGTTTAGGCCATCTCCACGGTAAATGACTGGTGTTTCCATGTCTTCTTTAGTGAAAAGTCTAATGCAAAGCACAGGGTTCTACTCACACTGCCTGAATGGGATGCGTGAAGAGTGGGCATTATTACTGAGTGTGAGTCCAAATCCTCTCCCTGCTGCCTCCACTCACCCGTGGGTCGCTGTCTGATTTCCAGAGCTCAAAATCTTAAAATTACATGCGTTTCATGCTGACTTCTGCTTCATTTTATGTTTCATGTTAACTTGACCGGTCGGCTCTCTCGCTGATGGCTCCGTTGTTTATAAAACATTCGCTAGGATTTTCCCTGTGCGGGCGTGATTGAGCTGCACTGTGGCCTCCACGGAGCACGCGATGTTATAATGTTTAAAGTTCCCAGCATGGCCTCCCTTGGAGAACTGGGAATTATGCTCTGGTTATAATGCTTATTAAAAATGCCCGGTGAAGCACCCGGAAACGAGACAGTAATAATTGGAATGAAATGAGAAGAAATAACATGAAGAAATTATAGCTTAAAATTATCCAAGTGAAAATCTACAAAGTGAAAACAATATGGATGTTAAGGTTTCAAACATTGATTGAAGAAACAGAAAAATGAGACAGGTGTCATATCGCACCAGGAAACAGAGAAGGCTGCCTCATTGGGCCAGAAATGCTGAGGAGTTTCTGAAAGATCTGAAGAATGTGCCACTTGCAATGACGCATTTCACACAAAAGGGGCAACATTTGAATAGAGAGAATAATATCAGACAAAGTGGGACTTAAGGTGAAAACGATGTCTCTGTGGGGAAGCACAGACGTGGTGGGAAAGTTGTCAGGAGGACATTCCGAGGAAAGGGAAGCGTGTGGAAGGCTGCTGGTCCTGTTTATTGGAATTCCGACTTCGGGGAGGCCTAGGGGAGCATCCAAGGCAGGGCCCCTGATTATTCCCTGACCACTCTAAGCAAGTCTGTGCACATACAGACTCCGGGCATTTACTGGAATCCTCATTCTTAATCCCCAGAGCAATCTTAATCCTCCCAAGATTGCTCACCCTACAGACTACAGATTGTGTCTAAAGATAAACTCTATTTCAAACTGTAATAAAAGCCTAGCAAGGCCGGCAATAGGAGCCGCTTGGTGCCTTTAGCCAGGCCATCCCTTAGCCCTCTTCTTTCACAGCGAGCGTGTCGGATTAGTTCATTCACCTCTTGCTCGGGGTCTGCTGGTCACCCCAGCAGGTCTCCACATTGATTAGACTTAAAATCCATAGAAGAAAGTATAATTGTCCTAAGTGCTTCTAATAAACTAAAAAACATCATTGACATATGAAAGCCAAAGCTGTTAAAAATACAGGGAGAACTGGACAAATGGCAATCCACACAATGTTAAAGGGGGGAAATGAGGAAACATTAGCATTGATTACTATAGAAATGAAATGGATCTAATCAGCATATGGACACTTTATCTCATAGTTAAAAATGCAAATTCCTGTCAAATATGCATCCCAGTTTCACAAATACTGTTGATATTCACACACACAACACGAGCTCAGTGGCTTCTGGGGAGTGGACTTGGCAGCCACTCTCCCCCACGATACAGCTGGACACGCAGAATGACAGGATCGATGGGGAGGAGCAAGCCCTGTCAGAAACTGAACGTGTCCTCCTGAATGACAGAGAGGAACCCCAGAGTCAAAAGGAGAGTGCAGTAGTAGCTCCATGGTTTCAACTGCTCCATGTCCTAAGCCATGAAATGGAAAATTCCAGAAGTAGGCAACTTATACCTTTTATTTTATTTATTTTTTATATATTTTATTGATTTTTTACAGAGAGGAAGGGAGAGAGATAAGAGAGTTAGAAACATCGATGAGCGAGAGTCATCGATCAGCTGTCTCTTACATGTCCCCTACTGGGGATGTGCCGCAACCAAGGTACATGCCCTTGACCAGAATCGAACCTGGGACCCTTCACTCCACAAGCTGTCGCTCTGTCCACTGAGCCAAACCGGTTTCGGTGCAACTTATAGCTTTTAAGTTGGATGCCCTTCTGAGGACGGTGATGACTTTGGAGCCTCATGCCATCTCATGTGGGATGTGACCACCCCTTCCCCTCCCCCATCTCCACCTGTAGATGCCCTGCCTGTTGTTAGCATTGTCCTATTTCAGTATTACTTACTGTGCCTAATTTATCAATTACACTTCATCTTAGCATGTATACAGGGAAAATGCATATGTACAAGGAAATCACACTGGATCGGGGGTCTGGTACTCGCCATGGTCTCAAGCCTCCACTAGGGGACATTGGATGTATCCCCCACGGATTAGGGAGCATTTTAGAAAATAGATGTTTGTGTCTATACAACAAACATTCGAGGTACACGGTCAAAGCTATACACACGGGAGATAATATCATTTTAAATGTTTTGTTATTATTAAGAAATGAAATTGCTTGAAAAAGTGGTCAACTGAAGACATCAGAAAAGCAGGGCCTTCTCTTTCTCACTCTCTACGCTGACCCCTCCTCCAAAATAAATGAATAATAGGAAGGAAGAAAGCAATGAAAAGATAACCTAATGAACTGGGGAGGGTTTAAAACAAGAGATAATGGGCAAACACAATAATAAACCTCCAAAGGCCCCTGAGGATATATGAGAATATGTAGGGACGAGAAGGGGAGTGAGGCAGCACCCAGTCCTCGCAGGGACCATGAGGCTCAGACTCCGTGGGTGGATGGTTCCTTGGAGGTCGGTCAGGACGTGGACGCCTTTGACCAGGCCTGTTAATGACACGTTTGACCTTGAAAGAGAGACTGGGACAGAAGAGGTCACGGTTTGCTTCAGAGATGCATCCTGTCTTTATTTCTATGCAAAGCGTCATTCTATGTGAAGTGTCGGGAGCCGTCTGCACTCGATTCTCCGAGACGCAGGCCCTGATGAGCCCTGAGGGCGTCCTGTGACTTCTGTTGTCCGTGTCCCGCCTTGTGTGTAACTGGGCGCTCCACCCTGCTTTCTGGGAAGGAGAGGCGGGCTGCCTGGCCCAGAGTCCAGATGTGCGTCCAAATCTTTCCCTTGGCCAGTGCACCACGCCAGTTGGTCCCCACAGGACAGGCTGTCTCTGGGGCCCAGCGCCTAATACCCAGGGTGCATCTGCGAGAAGATAGCGCTCAGGACTTTTTGAACAGCCCACGCTCTGGCCCACGTGGAGTGCAGGCTGGTATGGATAGCTCCCCGGCCCACGTGCAGTGAGGGCTGGTGTGGATAGCTCCCCCGCCCATGTGCAGTGAGGGCTGGTGTGGATAGCTCCCCGGCCCACGTGCAGTGAGGGCTGGTGTGGATAGCTCCCTGGCCACGTGCAGTGAGGGCTGGTGTGGATAGCTCCCTGGCCCACGTGGAGTGCAGGCTGGTGGGATAACTCCTGTGGCCTCTCCAGCTGGTGCTGCACAGGGAGGGCCGCCGCTGTCCTGAGCTGCCAGGCGCTCCTCAGAGGAGGGTCAGGGTCTGTGGGGTGACATCAGTGAGCACTGTGACCTCAGTAACGCCGGCTCCTGTCCGTGGTTGTCACAGGGGTGTGCCAGCTGGTGAACAAGATGGAGGAGAGCACCGGCAAGGTGAAGCCATTCAACCGGAACGACGAGCAGTTCCTGGAGGCCTTCGTCATCTTCTGCGGCCTCGGCATCCAGAACACACAGATGTACGAGGCGGTGGAGCGCGCCATGGCCAAGCAGATGGTCACCCTGGAGGTGAGCACAGCCGGGGCCTCTCCATGTCTGTCCTGTCAAGGTCACGTGACCAAACCACAACTCGGGCCCACCTCGCTCAGTCTGTCTGCTTGACCCAAGCCATCCATTCCCACGGACGGAGCTGCTCCTCAGCCACCTGGCCCATCTCACCTTGCCACGCTCTAGTCACAGTTTCAAAAGCAAAGACAGACCTAGTTTGTTTGGCTCAGTGGATAGGATGTTGGTCTGCAGACTGCAGGGTCCCGGGTTCGATTTCAATCAAGGGCATGTACCTTGGTTGTAGGCTTGAGCGCTGGTCCTAGTCAGGGTGTGTGCAAGAGGCAGATATGTCTCTCACATCGATGTTTCTCTCTCTCTGTCTCTCCCCGTCCTTTCCACTTTCTCTTAAAAAATAAAAATTGGTGGAAAAATATTCTTGTGTGAGGATTAACAAGAAAAACAAAACAGACAGAAATGGTAAGTGCTCTCAGAGCAGCAGAAATAAGGGGGAAAAAGACGCATCTGGCACAGCTTACACTCCTAGACTGGCCATTCGCCGCCATCAGACACTCCGTTCAGGGATTCATGGTTGACTCTGGAGTGTGAGTCTTGGGTGGAGGTGGGGGATCTGCATGTTCTTGAGCATCCACGGGGATCCCGGACCCCGGGCATACTGGCTGGGCACTGACCCGGGCAGGTCCCTCTGAGGGGTGGGGAGCGGAGGGCGGCCCCCTCCAGGGGCACCTCACCAGCACCCATGAAAACGTGCACTTCATGTAACACACACATCCTCTGCCCCGGGCCGGTCCAGGGGAGCGGATGTGAGAGGGTGCACATGTCTCCCCATCACTCAGCGTTGGTGTAGAACACACTCGAATGTTTGCCTCTTCTCCAGGAGCCAGGAGCCGGGATCCGTGGTAGGAGGGAACCTTCCCTCCATTCCTAATAAACAGCCCCCGACTGAAGAGCTAGACAGTTACCCTTTCTATGCTGAGACTGGTCAGTAGCCAGCTGGTTCTCCACTCTCTGAAATGAACACATCACACGTCCGCTAGAAAAGCATCTCAGATGTGATCTCAGACCATAACCCACTTCCAAATACACAAACACATACATGTTCAAATGCCTCAAAGGTCTGAAAATGGGTGCCTTTTTAACAATGACCCTAAAAGTTTTGGGGATTTTTTCATATAAATTTTGTATTATCTCTGTCAAATATTAACTTTCAAAAATACGTTTTAAAAGTATGATGGACATTTTAAATCCAGCCATCACCCTGGTTAGAAAGACGTCTGAAATATTGTCCCATTGCTAAAGGGTCTCACTTTTGAAAACAGGCATTGCTGCTCCTCAGGTTCAGTTATAAGACATGGTGAGCCTGACTTCCTAACCCTCTGGGTTAGTTATGGAAAGTTCTAGAATGGAAGTGGAAAGCTTAGAGTGGGGGTGGGAAAGCTGGCACCCAGGCCCCTCCTCTCACTGGGTGAGCCTCAGCCAAGTTAGGACAGTCCCTGCTCGGGGGTGGCCGCAGCCATCAGCGGGCGGGTCCCCAGGCCACACCGCTCCTCCGGGCGTCCCGGTCCCTGGGTCTGCGGCCTCCCTGTCCCGGCCGCGCTGTCTTCACGGATCCTGCAGCGGCAGCCTCCCCTGAGCCACCTCCTGGCGGCTGCCTTCAAAACGTCAGTTTTCACAAAGGTTGCTTCCCTAACTCTGTCCACAAGCACAAATAACTGAAGTCAGGATTTTACACACAACACGCAGTTGAAACGAAATTGTCTGCAGATTTGAGCCAGTAGCGTGGCTTTAGATCATGTGTTTGTCATATGATTATATAACAGTGTCAGACTGCAGTGAGCCGTTTTCTTTGGACACAGGGCCAGGGGGCATCTGACTTTGTTTCCTGGAACAACTGAATTGAAGTCTGGGTTCTTCTCTTTGAAGGAAACAGACCAGAACCAGGCTTGGCGGTCTGAGGGGTCCAGTCTTTCTCTGGGAGGTGTGAGCGACACCCAGTGTGAACCTCGGTCTGTAACCTGTCCCTGCTTCCCCGCAGGTCCTGTCCTATCACGCCTCGGCTGCCGAGGAGGAGACCCGGGAGCTGCAGGCCTTAGCGGTAATGACACACCTTTGGGGGGGGGGGGTCCTCCCGCCAGTAACGGCCCGAGACAGTGGGCCGAACCAAACGGGAGGAGAGTTAGGTGACACAGCACGCAGCCCACCATTTCCTGTGGCTGCCGTCCCCGGCGATGCAAAGCGCAGGTGGTGACCTCCATGGACCTTGTCCTGCATGTGATGGCTCTGGGTTTTTTCTAACAATTGTTCTCATCTTCATGTCTGTCTTAGGCCAACAGTAAACTCGGGTTCAGTTCCCAGAGAGAAGGGAGGGGCTGGCAGCTGCAAAGTGGCTGGGGCCTGGGGCCATGAAGGGGGTGCCATGGTTTGTTACTGAGGCCCTGCCTGTGTCCTGAGCGATGTCACCTCTGCCCTCATGGCTATGAGGCGGTCTGCATCGGCCCCCAAGCCAGTGCCTGGCTCCTCTGTGCCTCTCCCCAGTGAGCGGGAGGCGGGAGGGGGGAAGGCTTGGGCCGTGCTGGAGTGCCCTGGGTTCTGGGTTCTGTCTTGGTGGAGGTCCATGACGGTCTGAGGCATTCCTGCCTCTGCAGTCACGGCCGGCCTCTGAGTTTACATTTGAGGCCTCAGGGATCGGGTCCATTGGAGATATGACGGGGGTCAGGTAAGGAGCGAGAAGGGCGTGGCCAGTCACGGGAGTTCTCTGTCCAGGTCATCAGCATCGAAACCGCCAAGCCCAGTCCTCTGGGCAGCTCCTGCGTTTCTCCTGTGACTGCACAGCTGGGCCACAGAGCCTCCCTGTACTTAGAGAGACTGTGGCTGGTCAGGGTCTCTGTGGCTGGTCAGGGTCTCTGTTGCTGGCTCATGGCTGGTTTGGGGTGGCCATGGCTGGTCAGGGTCTCCATGGCTGGCTTGTGGCTGGCTCAGGGTGGCCATGGCTGACTCAGGGTGGCTGTGGCTGGTTAGGGTCTCTGTGGCAGGAACTAGAGCCAGGACACACAGTGCACCCCCAGGACACACAGTGCACCCCCAGGACACACAGTGCACCCCCCAGGACACACAGTGCACCCCCCAGGACACACAGTGCACCCCCAGGGCCGTGCACAGCCCATGGCGCTCCCTGTGAGGCAGAGAGAAGGCAGGTGAGCCTGACGAGAAGGCAGGCGCCTGAATAACCAGCGGGATGGGAAGGAGGAGGGGGGCCAATGTGGCTTAGAACGTGGGGCGGTTAGGTGCTGGGGGTCCCAGATGGATATGGACAGCCCTACCGGCAGGGACTGAGGACTAGGCTCCCACGGAGGCGGCGTTCTGGGGGGTGGCCCTGGATTCGTGGCATCCAGGCGTGGTTTCCCGTGCGGGGCGGTGGGAGGGCAGGTGTGCAGGGGTGGAGGGCAGGTTTCCCATAGGGGGCAGTGGGAGGGCAGGTTTGCCGGGAGGGGCGTGGGAGGAAGAAGACGAGGAGGTGGAACAGGCCAGGAGGGTAGGGAGGGCAGGACCGTGGGAGCACAAGCTCACCAGGAGGAGCAGGAGGAGAGAGCGCCAGGCTGGTGGACGGATGGACGTGGCTGCTGAGCAGGAGGCGGTGGAGGCAGAAGGCAGGCACAGGCTCTGGAGGTGGACGCCGGGCTCGGACCAGGGGGTGTGGGGCCATGAGCGGCTGCAGGGAGGCTGCTGGGACAAAGGGCAGATGATGGGACAAGAGAAGACAGGAGCAGATGCAGACGGCATTACAGACGAGTTTGTGTGGAAGAGAGAGGAGGAGGTGCGATGAGGGTGCTGCTGAGTCAGGAGGTTTGTAGTTCGGTTCTGTTTGGGCTTCTGAGCAGGGCTTGCTCCCGAGCAAGGGGCCAGCACGTTCTTGGACAGAGAGGGAGGGAGCAGGTGGGTGAGGCCCAGAGTGTGGGATGGGGCGCCATCCAGGCCTGGGTGTGGCTGGGCATTCGAGAGCCACCCCCTAGACAAGACCAGGGGAAGGGGGGTAAGAAGAAGAAACTACATTTAGGGAGTGTTTACCACCGAAGTGGCCTGTGTGAAGTCCGTGTTAGCTGTGTGTTTAAGCCACAGCAACTCCACACACCGCTGTTATTGGGATTTTTAAGCAACTGGAGGCTGATCCTATGCAGGCCGCCCCACTGGCAGAGATGTGCCGGGGTAAGCCCAGGCGGTCCGGGCAGAGCCCGCGGCCCCTGCCCACGCGCAGAGAGAGTGAACGGGAAGACGGAGCGGCAGGGCTGGATCTGATTCCATGGCCGAGGAGGAGCTGAGCCATCTGCGGAGGAGAGAGGGGTGAGGAGGAGGAGCATCAGGAGCTGGGGATGATTTTCCCAAGAAGCTGGCTGCCCTGGGGTTAGCCATCGAATTGGCTGTGTTTGCTTTGCTCTCGATGCTATCTGAGGAAACTAGCTTTCCCCCCAATTACTGGCAAAGGTTTGTGGATGTGAAGACTCCTTCACCGCAGGTGCGGTTGGCCCAGGGGGCTAGCCCTTCCAGAACGCTGGCCTGGGGGCTGCTGCCGCTGTGGGTGGGACCTGCCACAGAAGGCACGCGCCCGGGTGTGTGTGGCACGGAGGTCATTCCCGTGGCTCTAAAACGAGGTTGCGCTTACACTCCGCCCTGAGTGGTTTGAGATAAATACCAACTAGCATAGAGAGGAATTCCCAAAGACCCTGCTACACAAACACCAGGCCATTAAACTTGCTTTTCACTTTGAAAATAGCAATAGTCTTTCAGAAAAACCTGAAAATTATTTTCTCAATTATGTTCAAAATTTTAGCAAAAGAACAAAGCATTGGAGTGACTAAAAATTGCAGTATTGTTCAAAACCATCTGTTTTCTATTCAGAAAATAGATTTCTGGCAGCTGCATTCAGAAATTCAGGATTGCAAAGCTGGGAGGTCAAAGGACTCTTTAAATTGGTGGAAATTCAGCATCTGGTTGCAATTCTCATTTTCTCTCAGCCTCATAACGATTCCTGTGCAGCCCCGACACAGGTGTGTGCGTCCCCCAGAAACTACAAAATTGCTGGCTTTGTCGTGTGTCTGATTGTTTATCCCAACTTAAACCTAAAATAAGTGGAAAAGCTGTCACAAGTTTTAACTTTTATTTTAAAAAATGAGTTCTGAAGAGAATGAAATAGTGCACTAAGTACACTAAACAGGTATGCCTGTGCCAGGAAAGCTCACTGCTTATATAAAATGATTTTGTTGATGGGAAACTCAGAATCCTTATTTTCTCTGCCTGCTTTCCCTGAGGGTTTTTTTTGTTTTGTTTTGTTTTGTTTTGTTGTTTTGTTTTTGGTTTTTTAATTTATTGAGTTCTCTATTATTAATCTAATCCTCTCTTGGCTTAGGATTGGGTGTAGCACAAATAGAGCAATAAGCAACCCATTTGCCGTGGACGTTTTAACAGCCCTGGTTACTGAGATAGAAATAGAAGGCGCCCCGCTGACCGGGTCTGGTTATTGGAAAGTCACTGGGCACACAGGGTTTGTCTATGTGGGTAAGGGGTGTTTGATGGACGGACAGACGGGGTGTTTGTCTATGAAGGTAATGGGGGGTTGGATGGATCGGCTGGCTGCATTTCTGCCTTTCCCTCTCGTTAGAAGGGCGGGAGCAGGCACTTCCTGGAGTACAGGGTGTGAACGAAGCTCCGGTTCTGTCCTGGAGCCGGTGCCAGTTCAGCTCCTGCTTGATTTCTGTAACTGCGGGAAACGTCTCTAAAGGCGAGTCGAGACTCTTGTCAAATAGCGGGAGAGGGAGCAGCTGAGCGCATAGGCAGGTTCCCCAGGACAGAGGGGCCTCATCACCCCAGCATTCAGAGCCAGAGCTAGGCAGGGATCCTCCATGGGGGGAAGAAGGGGCTCCCCGTCAGGCGGGAGCCCTCCATCAGGGGGAGCCCTCCATCAGACAGTGTGAGGTGCGATCCCTGCAGGGGACAGCAGTGAGGGGAAGACCACAGCCCTGATGCCTCGGTCAGTGTTCAGTGCCACCCAGCGCCTCCTGTCAGATGACTCCACCCCTCCCTCTTGGGGAAAATCTCTGTCAATAGCCAATCATTAAGGGAGAGATTGGAGCAAACGATAACAAAGAAGAGTTGATGCTGTGGTCTTATTAACCAGTGTCACTGCACTGTTGTAACCATGGCGACCGGGAAGACACCTCTTCCTCACATGGTGCTGGGGACGCACTTGGGACAGTCCGGGCCCTTCAGACCCCTGGAAGCCATCGAGGCGTCACCTTTTACAGAGAGACGTGCAGGGCGTGACCGGCTGCAGCTGGTTACCTGGATAAGACGGCGGCTTCAGCTTGATTCCTCCTCTTTCACTCACTAAGCTAATCCTGTTTTGCTTTGATGTTGCTAGTGGATTATTGCTACTGATATTCTTTTTTTTAATATATGTTTCATTTATTTCGGCAAGAGAGATAGAAACATCAATGATGAGAGAATCATTGATTGCCTGCCTCCTGCACATCTCCTATTGGGGATCGAGCCTGCAACCTGGGCTTGTGCCCTTGACCAGAAACAAACCTGGGCCCCTGCAGTCCAAAGGCTGGCGCTCTATCCACTGAGCCAAACAGGCCAGGGTTCTTGTAAAAAAAAAAAAAAAAAAAAAAAAAAAAAAAAAAAACAAAACACTGAAACCTGTAAAGAATTTTTGTGAGTTTATTTGAGTCAAACTGTCCACATATGCCGAGAAACAGAACCTCAACGGATTGAGATGATGCTCCGGAGAATGGCAAGTTACATCTGTATTTATACACTGAAATCAAAGGAGGGACATAGGTGGGTTACATGAAATTCATTGGTGATGGGTTAAGAAGGCAGAAGAAAGCAAAGCAGTGGGAATCCCCTGGGATTGGATAAAAAGTAAAATGATGGACACACACTTAGGTGAGTACAGGAACAATTAACATGATAAAGAAGGAATTTGAGGCATCAGTCCTGGCGCCCACCACATTTGGTTGTTCCCCAGGGGCTCCAGAAAAAGAGAAGTTACAAGTTACCCAGACATCTCACAGATATGTTATCTTAGAGGCAAAAAGGCAAATGGGCTCAGGAAAGAAAATCTAAGTTCATCTTTGTCAGGGAAAATATCGGCCTAGGACATGACTATCCACCATAACCTGTTTGTAGTTAGATATTTAATTTTCAAACCATCTTTTGTGGTTATTTTAGGTCTCTGAGTTTGCAAGAGTGCCAGGCCAGTTTGCAGGTCTCCTCTGAGCTTGTGGCTTCTTTCGTTCACATACTCTTGATATGTGGCTCTGTTGACTAATGAGTTTGCCAACCACAGCCCTAGAGCATCCCCGTGGAAGGAACAAAGGACACTTCCAGCTCACAGACAGAGACACCCTGGGGGACATGGCTGCATCCGGTGCAGGGTGTGTGTGTGGAGGGGGGTGATACACTGCCCAGCTGTGCGGATGGGGCTGCTGGTGACATCCAGCCCCTCCCCTTGCAGCCACGCGGTCCCCGGTCTGGAACTCACGGGGCAGATGCTTGCCTCCTCGTGGCATTTGGGAGGGAGAGTGTGCGCGCAGGGGGAAGCAGGCGGCGTGCGTGTGAAGTATAAACACACCTGCTGAGTGTAAGTCCGACATGAAGGTCACAGGGAGCAGAAGGGAGGTGCCCTCTTGGAGGGAACGCTCTGGACTGACTGCGCCGAAGGGTTTACTATTTCACCTCTTTGCTTCACAGAAGGTGGAGGTGGAGCAGAGTAGTGACACCCAGCTATTCACAGGGAACCTGGGCCTGTGGCCTCTCCACACTGAGCCCCATCGGCTAAGGCGCTGGAGGGGAGGCCGGGTGGGAAGGGGGCGTGGGGACTCCCGTCAGGGCTGGTCCTGGGCCTCAGGCCCCTCGGAAATCTAGGGGAGACCCCGCAGCTCAGCCGAGGCCTTGGCCCCCTGGGAGTTGGCCTCTGTGTAGCCTTTCCAGGGAGAAACCGGAAACCCTTTGTTTTTGCTTAAACTCCCCAATTCTAACAGCATCGTCCATTTGGTGATTTTTACTAACTTCCCGTCCCACACTGGAGAGATCGCAGGCAGCTCCCAGCTGCATCTTCCCACCCGGTGGCGGTGTCTCTGTGGGGCGTGGGGTCCTTAAGTCCAAGCTGACGGCTCAGACCCCGTGGAGGGGAGGAGGGCCCCTGTGTCCATTCCATAGACCTTCCTGGGGGCGCAGTCCCAGCCGCAGCCGCCGGCGGTCACAGCGGGAGCGCAGGTCCCTGTGGTCAAGAGATGCAGGAAACCACCTACCGAGAACCTCGCGGAGGGAACGGGTGTGCCCAGCCGGGTCAGCTCTGTGGCATTTTGACCTTCGCCCTTCCTATGAGTGCGAAGCTCCCGCTGGGAGAGAGAAGGGTTGGACGAGATCGAGGGAAGCGAGCGAGGTGCCTCGGTGCAGCTGCCGCATTAACGAGCGTCGGAGCAGCACCGGAGGGGGGGAGGCATCGCACGCAGGTCCCGCCACGAGCAAAACCAGCTTCTCAGACCCGAAGCCGGGCCCTGTCCGTGAGCACCCCCAGGGGCCAGGGAAGGCACAGGCGCCTGCTCATCTCCAGGGCAGGTGGCTAGCCCCGACGGTGCTTCGGTTTCTGTGCCTCCGAGGGGGTGAGGGAATGAAACGTGAAGTGCTCAGAGTCCTCGCTGCGCTGCCCCTCGATCCTCGCCCCCGGCCCTGGCACGGCCCAGGACGGCCGCTCAGTCACCTGTCTGAACAGGCTGGCGGCCTGCAGGGCCCCCTGGAGGCCCCGGCCACGGCCTGTGCTGGGCTCAGCCTCCGGGCAGCACCCTCTCCCTGCCCCCGGCGCCTCAGTGAAGGTCTCCGTGTGTCCATTTCGGAGGAGAGCACACACGCTGCTCCCGCAGGAAGCCCAGGCCGTGAGCCGGCTCCCGCACTGCCCTCCCCCAGGCGGCCGTGGTGCCCTCCGCCCAGAGCCTGCGCATCACCGACTTCGGCTTCAGCGACTTCGAGCTGTCGGACCTGGAAACCGCGCTGTGCACCATCCGGATGTTCACCGACCTCAACCTGGTGCAGAACTTTCAGATTAAGCACGAGGTGAGGCTCACATGTGATATGTACGTGTGTGTATGCTTGCACGTGTGTGCACGTGTGTGTACACATGTGAGGGTGTGTGTGTGTGTGTGTGTGTGTACCATCTGAATGTTACTGACCTCAACCTGGTGCAGAACTTCCAGATGAAGCACTAGGTGAGGCTCATGTGTGATGTGTACATGTTTGTGTGTGTGTGTGCATGTGAGCGTGTGTGTGTGTGTGTGTGTGTGTGCACCATCTGAATATTACTGACCTCAGCCTGGTGCAGAACTTCCAGATGAAGCATGAGGAAGGGGCGCATGGGTTCTTTTTTCATTGCTTCTTGGTAACCGCTCAGTGCCTCTGTCAGAGCATCCAAGCCGGTGCAAAAGGGACCAAGAGCTTAGGGCATGCCCAATCCCGCTCCTTCAGCCCGGAGCCTGGCACTGAAGCCGCACAGCAGGCGCCTGGCGCCTGGGAGGACTGGTGCGGCTTGGCGTGGCTCTCCCACGGGGACTCCTCCTGTGGGGCGCTCTCATTGAAGGCACATGGACTCGGTGTCTTTCAGAAAGTTGGCCGGTGCCTGCAGCCCCACGGCCTCCCCAGGGTGGCCTTGCGTTGAGCACTGTTTGTTGGCTGGTTAGCAGCTTGGGCTCTGCCATCGGATGCTCGGGTGTGAACTGGGGCCACGCCCTTTAGGACCCACATGACCTTAGCGTGGTCCCTCTCGGCGTGGTGGTGTCCGCGTCTGTTAGGTGATTCCACCCTGTGCCCGCCCCGGAGCCAGAGGTGGCTGTGCATGGCATTGCCTGGCCGCGGTGAGCCTGTGACCAGTGCCTGCCCTCCTCCTGCAGGTCCTCTGCCGCTGGATCCTGAGCGTGAAGAAGAATTACCGGAAGGACGTGGCCTACCACAACTGGCGGCACGCCTTCAGCACGGCGCAGTGCATGTTCGCCGCCCTGAAGGCGGGCAAGATCCAGGTACCGTAGAGCCCGGCGTCCACCCAAGACGTTCGGTGACTCGTGGCAAAGTTTACAGCACATTCTCTCAAGTGTTTTTTTTCATTTTGCTTCGGTGATGGTTGAGGGTATTGCTTGTTGCCAGTTACAAAATAAAGTGCATTTTCAGGAAAGAAGGCTAGGATGGCAAAGGACTTGCTTGACAACTTCCTTTCCTGTGGAATGTGCATGGCACGTTGCTCCCCGTTAAATTCCCGTGGTGCTTGGGAAGCTGGCACGCCCTCAGAGGGAAACGGCAGCAGCGTCCTCCTGCTCGCAGTCACACTGCTCCCTCGGGCTAATCCACGCCACGCGGGTCCTGAGCGGGGCTTCACAGACGCCCCAGGCCCCTGCTGCAGGCCACGCCCTGAGCCCAGAGAGCAATGCAGACCCCGTTCCAGCAGCCAGGTCCTCCAGGCAGGCTCTATGCTTAGCTCCGTCCTTAGGTCCCCATGTCGGCGGGAACCAGCGAGTCTTCTAGGTGCGTGAGCCCAGGCCCCTCACAGAGCTCTTCGATCCAGAGCTGCTGTGCTCGCTTGGTGAGTGTTTTTGGTTGTTGTAATCCTCACCAAAGGATGTTTTGATTTTTAGAGAGAGGAAGGGGGAGAGAGAGAAAGAGAGAGACAGACACATTGATAGGTTGCCTCCTGCACTCATCCCGACCGGGCCCAGGGATTGAACCTGTAACCCAGGTAGGTGCCCTTGACCAGGAACCGAACCCTTTGGTGTGAAGGCCGACGCTTTAACCACTTCCGTACACAAGCCAGGGCGCTTCCATGCTTTGTTATTATTGAATTCTGGGACTGCTGTTCTTCTCTGCTCCCATAGGGGGCGCATTTTAACCCAGAGCCAAGAGCAGGGCTTATCTCGGAGCCACGTGTTAGAGTCCCACTTCCCTGCTGCCGGAGACGCCCCTGGGGAGTGGCTCCACTTCTGTCGGAGGGCTGGGGAGGTCAGGAGGGTTAAACCACCGAATGCTATCTGGGCTCTGGCAAGGAAAAACCAAATGCCAGTGTGTGTGTGCTGTGACTATGCCACTTAGAGTGTTGAGAATTCCAGCAGAAGAGAGCTGATAGGAATTTCAACTTATGTTTTTCTTATGAAGAACAGTAGTACCGAGAATACAAATAGCAGCCACTCAGAAATAACCTAGAATTAGCTTTGGAATATATCATGTAACTTCTTTAAAAAAAATTTTTTTTTATTGGTTTCAGAGAGAGGAAAGGGGAGGGAGAGGGAAAAACATCAGTGATGACAGAGAATCCTGGATGGGCTGCCTCCTGAATGCCTCCTGATGGATCAAGCCCGACCCCTAATTCACGGTTCACAGTTGACGCTCAACCACTGAACCACACCAGCCAGGCTATTATGTAACTTTTTAAAGACAACTTTTCATTCCTAGTCCCCTTTTGTGTATTCTTCTGCCAAGTATTCTCACTGTCTGGTGCCTTAGGCACAGCCCCTCAGGGTAGAGATGGGAAAAACGGAATCTATAGGGGTTAAAGGTCCAGAGAAGCTGGGATTCAGAGTTCATGTGGTTAGCCCACATGCATTCGGAGACCGTAGGAAGGAGCGGCGTTGGCTGTGGGGGCAGGGTGAGTGACGTTGGTGCTAGCCCCGTTCTGCAGGCGAGGCACAGCTCGTTCCCGCGGAGCCGGCCTCCCACCACATCACAGCAGGGCTGTGTGAGCACTGAGGTCGCCCAGAGGTGTCCTCGCACCCTCACGGGTCCTTCTCTCTCTCCTCCCTGCCGCCGTGCAGAGCAAGCTGTCGGACCTGGAGGTGCTGGCCCTGCTGGTCGCCGCCCTGAGCCACGACCTGGACCACCGCGGCGTGAACAACTCCTACATCCAGCGGTGAGGGGGCCGCCCCGCCAGACAGCAGGAGGTCCTGTTCAGCAGCGGGGCGGTCCTTAAAGCAAAACCCACAGCAAGGTGCATCAGTCAAGGTCCCGTAACTTACTCTGATTTTATTTAAATATATTTTAATTGATTTCAGAGAGGAAGGAAGAGGGAGAGAAACATCCATGATGAGAGGGATTGGCTGCCTCCTGCATGCCTCACACTGGGGATAGAGCCCTCAACCTGAGCCTGTGCTCTGACCGGGAATCAAACCCTGACCTCCTGGTTCATAGGTGGATAATCAACCACTGAGCCACGCCAGCTGGGCTGATTTTATTTAAAGGATATGGGGAGGAGAGGGGAATGCAAGCCCGGTATTGTGTTGGTAACATTTCTGGCCTAAAGAGGGAAAATGTTTATGTTAGAATCTTATTCCATGAGATAATTGCCAAGAATGTTGCTTTAGGTTGAATTAGGGCTTCAGAGGAAACTTTAAAGACTAGTTCAGCAGAGGTAACACTCCGCCCTGACAGACAAGGGGATACTTGGGAAGGGCCTTGCGATCAGGTGCTCAGCAGGTGCTCTGAGGAGCTGTGGCCTCAGGGAAGTGAATTAAAGGCTTGACATTGAAAACAATTATTGGGCTAAAACCACTTTGGCTCAGTGGATAGAGCATTGGTCTGCGGACTGAAGAGTCCCAGATTCAGTTTTGATCAAGGGCATGTATATTGGGTGCGGGCACATCTCCCATGGGGAGCATGCAGGAGGCAGCTGGTCTATGTTTCTCATCAATGTTTCTAACTCTATATCCCTCTCCATTCCGCTCTAAAAAATCAGTTTTATATATATATATATATATATATATATATATATATATATATATATATATATATATAATTTTTTTTTCTTAAGCAGAAAACAATTATTGGTACAAGATTTAGGGATCTTCTTTTCATGTCTAGAGAAATTAGTACTTTGTCCTCAGTACGAAAATCGATGGGGTTATTCACGGTTTGAACCAGCCGTTCAGAGCAGCCTGACTCTTTATACTTATTTCCCAGAGATGACCTCCCTCTCTTCCCAGCCAAAGGAGAGAGTGGTCGGCTTGAGGGATTTTAGCCTCTCTTTTAGGTAGCCAATGAGAAGAGAGCGACCGTCCGGCCATGTGGCGCCTGACCGTCCTCTCTGAGCCCTCTCTCTGCGACTCCCCCCAGGAGCGAGCACCCACTGGCCCAGCTGTACTGCCACTCGACCCTGGAGCACCACCACTTTGACCAGTGCCTGATGGTCCTCAACAGCCCGGTGAGGCCCGGAGTGCGCTGCCCGAGGCTGCGTAAACGCGGGGGGCGGGCGGTGTTAGATGTTTGGTTCAGGCCCAGGACCACAATTCTCCAGTGCGCGTCATTCTTTTCTGGGTGTGGAAGGCCGGGGCCCCTACAGCCTCACCCTTGTGCACCCTAAGCTGTCAGCTGCCCGACAAGGGGTCTGCTTACTTCATTACTCCACATTGTTCAGAGACAAACGGAGCTGGTGTTTTCTGGCTCTCGGTTAACTTTTTTGTTTTTTTTGGTAAAATTAAGTGGGTGATATAGCACTCAAGAACCTTTTCCTCTTTTTACTAAAACTTCTGACCACAAACACATTGTTAAGGGATGAGCAGTTCAACAGCCTGGTGGAGGTGGGTGTTTATCAGTGTGAGAACATGATGGGTGTTTATCAGTGTGAGAAAGCACGTGACATGCTACGCCAGACGTATTTCTATGGAGGGAAGTAAACTTGAGGACACATACGCTGACCTGTTAGCAATGGTTGTTTTTGCCGAGGGAATACTTTATTTTTCTCATTCTGTTCCTCCGTTACTCACATGATCTGCTGTGTGCACGAATGACATTATAATGAGAAGCGTGAGTTACAGCTGCCGTGAGCAGCCGGCGCCCAGGACATCCTCCTACAGCAGGTCCCACACCTCAAGGCAGACCCCCACCCCACACTTCACCCCTGGAGGCCCCCCCGCACGGGTTTACAGCCTGTGCCTGGGGAAGGGGGTATACAGACAGCACCGGGACATTGTGGTTCAGACAGGGCCTTTGACCTTACACTAAATGAAAGTACCAGAAGGTGTTTTCTGAACAGTTTTCTGTTCAGCCCAGAATCTAAAATGGGGCTGATTTGCTATTTTTAAGGAATGTGTATGACTGTGATTCCAGACTTGGCATTAGGGACATACTGATTCCAGTCCAGCCTCCAGCTCTCCGCTAAGCGAGGTCTTGTCCGGGCCCGGCACCCCAAGGGCCCCGTGTTCAAGAGCATCTGCTGCCCGGGTCCCAGCCTGAGCCACTGCTTCCCCTCAGTCCTGGAGCTGTGCAGATGTTGAGTTTATTCTGAGAACCGAGGCACATTTTACCCAGTTCAGGACGAGAGGTTTGCTTTGAACCCCAGGCACCAGGACACAGTGGTTGTGCAGCGACAGCGCTGGAGTGTTTGCCCGGGATCAGTCCCTTTTAGAGTCCTTCTTGGTTTCACATCGTGCATGCTTCCCACTGGGAATACGTGCTGCTCTCGATATTAAGTTAAAATTACACAAATGTGTGTCCACATGTCACTGGATTTATTACAAATGCCATAGAGAAAAAAAATGTGTTAGTCATCGCTTGTTCAGAAGTTTCACCATTCCATTCTTCATCAGTGTGGCTTTGGGCTTTCAGACTTCACTTGCAGTTGCAATGCTGCCCATGGCCAGATAGTTAGCCTGGAGGCTGGACGGAGGCCCGCGGTCTGGGCAGTCGGCAGAAAGGCAGGGACCTGGCGTTTCCTAGGAGACCAGGCCGAGGGAGCAGAGGACAGGGTGGCATCAGGCATTCACTCTGAGGAAGCGGGTGGCCCGTGTGTACGACTCCAAACCCGGCCCGTGGTCTGTCTGTGACCACGTCTTCTGCTGAGTCCTCGGGGGGTGCTCCCATGGGGTGCTGACGATGGCTTTCTTCTCTTGTGAAGGGGAACCAGATCTTCAGCGGGCTCTCCATCGAGGAGTATAAGACTGCGCTGAAGATCATCAAGCAGGCGATCCTGGCCACAGACCTGGCGCTGTACATCAAGTGAGTCTCACCAGCGCCCGGTGCTGAGTGGCTGTGGGAAGAGTGTGCCTTGTTCCACGTGGGGCCACGTCTGGATCCTAGGACTGCGTGCAGTTCTTAGAGGAGGGAATGTAGAACTGGGACGTTACTGACTGACTCAGGACATAGCGTGCATTCATGGTTGACGTGTGCTGCGCTGCATGGGCAGGCTGTGGTTTGCACACGGGACCCCGGTCTGTGCGTTGTGGGGCAGTGAGAGGAGAAGATGGTCCCACTCACGTGATTTCCCTGGACATGTGGCCTCTCTCCCCCATGCGGGGAGTCACGCCTGCATGTAGGCTATTGATGGGAAGTCAGCACAAACAGCAAGCACAGGAACGTGTGCACCTAGAGGGAACTGCCGCCAGTGACTCTGCTTCCCTGATTAGGGAGCACCTTAACCCCAGCCAGGACAACAGAGAACTGAGTTCATTTCAGCTGGTTCCACATGATGGTAAAAATGGCCACCCAACTAAGAATTAGCACAACACCTGTAACCTTCCCGGGCCACAGGTCTCTCTGGAACCGGTGTTTTCTTGCTGGTTCTCAGTTGCAGGTCATCCATTCTGTTCCATAAGCTCTCTGTTTTCTTGGTGTCTGACATCATGGCTTCCTGAGATGGCAACCGGGGGAGAGCGATAGAAACATCAGTGATGAGAGGGAATCATTGATCAGCTGCCTCCTGCACGCCCCCCACTGGGGATGGAGCCTGCCACCCAGGAATGTGCCCTGACCGGGAATAGAACCATGACCTCCTGGTTCATAGGTCAATGCTCAACCACTGAGCCATGCCGGCTATGCCGTCTCACTTTCATGAAGTTGTGTTTAGGAATGAGATTACCAGTAACTGTGATCTGCACAGTGAGGTTCAATGCTTCACCTAAAGAAGATTCTATAAGGAGGAAAAGGGAGGTATTCACAATTTTTAAATGATGATTTTTATGTTGGGTTCTAAGATGGATAAAATCCATTGGAGATTTCCCCCCAAAAAAGTGAGTCAATGATTCTTTGTAGACCATGGGAAAAAATAAGCCTTAGGGACTCCCTAGAATGATCAATGTTTCTCTTTCTTTCCAAGGAGGCGAGGAGAGTTTTTTGAACTTATAAGAAAAAACCAGTTCAACCTGGGAGACCCGCACCAGAAGGAGCTGTTTCTGTAAGTGGCCCTCCGTCTGCCTCTGCGCCGAGGTCTGGCTTCCGGTTCATGTGATCAGTGCCAGGTTGTGTTGCAATCACTTGTCATAACCTGGTGACCTAGAGGCCGGGGAATTCCCCAGCGTTGGACCAAGGGCAGGACGTGAACATTCAACAAAAAGAAATGTGTGTGCAGAGCCCAGTGAAGGAACGGCCCGTGCTCTGCAGGGGGCGTTAGAATGGGTGGGGCGTGAGCACCTGGCTCTATTGTGTGCACATCCCAGGTTTGGGGGTGAGAGAGCCGCAAGTAGCACCTAAAGGCATGGGAGTCAGGAGCTGGGGGTGAGGTGTCCTCTGCTCCTGAAGGACGACGGCAGAGCCAAGAGGTCGGGACTGGGCCCGCCCGGCTGTGTTCCCCTCAGCTGACCCCGCTGGTCCCTCCAGCTCTGGGTCCCATCCCTGGTTGCCTTTGCGGAGCAAGAGCCTTCTCCGGGAGAAAGAAGAGAGTCAGGAACAAGACAGAGCAATACTAGGGATGGTGCATTTCTTGGAACAGATTGTCAGCACTGAGCGTGAAGATGGGAATTATGAAGCAACAGCCCACGGGGCCCGGCTGTCTGTCCTGCACGCTTGACAGGTTTAGGGTTCAGGGCAGCGCCTCTGGAAAGTATAGAGATACCATGTGTTTGGTGAGTGCCCACCAGCTCTTCTCCGTAACAAAACCAAATCCGTGCACAGCCGAGCCTGTGCCTCAGGGTTCGCTGCTCACTCTCCTCCCTGTGGCCTCAAGGTCCCGCGGGCCGGGCCACTCAGTCACTCTTGCACTCGTCGCTTCGCAGGGGTTTGGCATGTGGGCACAAGTGCTGTTTGGTGAGCTGCTTGTGCGGCGGGCTCCACAGAAGCCCCTGCGGTGGTGTAAGCCCCCGGGACTCCCTGTGCACCCAGTCCTCTGGAGTGTTGCCGTGAGAGCTGACACGGTGGGATTAGGGGAAGCACTCTTAGCCGGGGTACCTGAGCAGCAAGTGCTCCGGCCCTGCGCCCTGAGTGCTCTCTGCCAGCGATGCCGTCCTGCCTGTCCCTCCAAACAAGCCCAAAGAACCAAGTGCAGACGTCTGGATCGGGCACGTTTTCACGGGGCAGGCCCAATCCTGAGCCCTGGAGTGCCTGCTCCCAGACCCAAAGGCCTGCATGGTCCTTCTCTAACAAGACCAAGAATGACCTCTGTCATTTCTCCAGTAGACACTGGCCCATAGTTCAGTCACTGTGTGTGTAAATTAGGACGACCCACCAAAATCTTGCTCTCACCGAGCTTTTAAAGTACACTGTGTCTCAGTGTGCTGTGTGGCAGTAGGTTGTGTAACAGTAGAATGTGTCACTGTAGGATGTGTGGCCAGTAGACTATGTCACAGTAAGCTGTGTGACCAGTAGGCTGTGTCACAGTAGGCCGTCTCAGTAGAATGTGTGACAGTAGGATGTGTAACCAGTAGGGTGTGTTACAGTAGAACGTGTGAAAGTAGGATGTTACAGTAGACTGTGTCACAGAAGGCTGTGTTTCAGAAGAATGTCTCAGTAGTCTATGTCACAGTAGGCTGTGTCTCAGTAGAATGTGGAAGAGTAGGATGTGTCACAGTAGGCTGTGTGACAATAGGCTGTGTCAAAATAGGCTGTGTTACACTAGTATGTGTGACAGTAGGCTGTGTGACAATAGGCTGTGTCACAGTAGGCTGTGTCTCAGTAGAGTGTGTCACAGTAGGCTTGTGTGACAATAGGATGTGTCACAATAGGATATGTAACCAGTAGACTTTGTCAAAGTAAGCTGTGTGACAAGTAGTATGTGTCAAAGTAGGCTGTGTGATTGGTAGGCTATGTCATAGTAGGATGTGTTAAAATAGGCCATGTCACAGTTGGCTGTGTGACCAGTAGAATATGTCAGAGTAGGCTGTGTGGCACGTAGACTATGTCACAGTAAGAAGTGTTACAATAGGCTGTGTCACAGTAGGATGTGTCTCAGTAGAATGTGTTATAGTAGGCTGTGTCTCAGTGGAATGTGTTATAGTAGGCTGTGTGGACAGTACACTGTGTCACAGTAAGATGGTGTACAATAGGCTGTAGTACAGTAGACTGTCTCAGTAGACTGCCACGGAAGATGGTGTTACAGTAGGCTGGGTCTCAGTAGACCATGCCACAGTATGGTGTGTTTCATTAGGTTGCATCTCAGTGGGCTGTCACAGTAGAGTGTGTCTCAGTAGAATGTATCACAGTAGGATGTGTAGCCAGTAGACTGTGTCACAGTAAGCTGTGGGACCAGTAGGCTGTGTCACAGTAGGCTGTCTCAGTAGAATGTGTCACAGTAGGATGTGTGACCAGTAGGGTGTGTTACAGTAGAACGTGTCAAAGTAGGATGTTACAGTAGACTGTGTCACAGAAGACTGTGTCTCAGTAGAAGGTCTCAGTAGTCTATGTCACAGTAGGCTGTGTCTCAGAAGAAATTGGAAGAGTAGGATGTGTCACAGTAGGGTGTGTGACAATAGGCCGTGTCACAGTAAGGTGTGTTTCAGTAGAAGGTATCAAGTAGAATGTGTGGTCAGTAGACTGTGTCACAGTAAGCTGTGTGACCAGTAGGCTGTGTCACAGTAGGCTGTGTGACCAGTAGGCTGTGTCACAGTAGGCTGTCTCAGTAGAATGTGTCACAGTAGGATATGTGACCAGTAGGGTGTGTTACAGTAGAATGTGTGAAATTAGGCTATTACAGTAGGCTGTGTCATAGAAGACTGTGTCTCAATAGAAGGTCACAGTAGGTTGTGTCTCAGTAGAATGTGGTAGAGTCGGATGTGTCACAGTAGGGTGTATGACAATAGGCTGTGTCACAATAGGCTGTTTTACACTAGGCTGTGTCACAGTAGGCTGTGTGACAATAGGCTGTGTCACAGTAGACTGTGTCTCAGTAGAATGTTTTAAAGTAGGCTGTGTGGACAGTACGCTGTGTCACAGTAAGATGTTGTACAATAGGCTGTGTGACAATAGTATGTGTTCCAGTAGGCTGTGTCACAGTAGGCTGTTGCACAGTAGACTGTGATACCAGGAGGCTGTGCTACAGTAGGCTGCCTCAGTATGCTGTCACAGTAATGGATGCTACACTAGGCTGGGTCTCAGAAAACTGTGTTATTGTAAGGTGTGTTTCAGTAGGTTGTGTCTCAATAGGCTGTGTCACAGTAGTGTGTGTTTCAGTAGAATGTGTCACAGTAGGATGTGTTACATTAGAATGTGTCAATGTAGGCTGTTACAGTAGGCTGTGTCACAGTAAGCTGTATCTCAGTAGAGTTTCTCAGTAGGCTATGTCACAGTAGGCTGTGTCTCAGTAGAAAGTGGATGAGTAGGATGTGTCACAGTAGGCTGTGTTAAAATAGGCTGTGTCACAATAGAATATGTAACCACTAGACTGTCACAGTAAGTTGTGCGACTTTGACACAGTAGGATGTGTCAAAGTAGGCTGTGAGAATGGTAGGCTATGTCACAGCAGATGTGTTACAATAGGCTTTGTCACAGTGGGATGTGTCACAATAGGCTGTGCGACCAATAGGCTATGTCCCAAAAGGCTGTGTCTCAGTATGCTATGGCTCAATAAAATGTGTCAAAGTAGGCTGTGTTACACTAGGATATGTCATAGTAGGATATGTAACCAGTAGATTGTGTCACAGTTAGCTGTGTGAACGGTAGGATGTGTAGAGTAGGCTGTGTCTCAGTAGGCTGACACTGAAGGCTGTGTCTCAGCAGAATGTGTCACATAGGCTGTGTCTCAGTAGAATGTTTATTGTAGGCTGTGTAGCAAGTAGGCTGAGTCACAGTAAGAAGTGTTACAATAGGCTGTGTCACAGTAGACTGTCACAGTAGGCTTTGTGACCAGAAGGCTGTGTCACAGTAGTCTGTGTCTCAGTAGGCTGTGTTATAGTTGATTGTGTGGCTAATAGGCTGTGACACAGTCAGATGTGATACAATAGGCTGTGTCACGGTAGGCTGTGTCTCAGTAGAATGTCTAGTAGTAGGCTGTGTGACCAGAGGTTGTGTCATAGTAGGCTCTGTCACAGTAGGTTGTTTCACAGTAGGATGTTTCACAGTAGCCTGTGTGGCCAGCAGGTTGTGTCACGTTAGGATATGTAGTCAGTAGACTGTGTCACAGTAAGCTGTGTGACCAGAAGGATGAGTCCTACTATACTGTGTGATTTGTAGGCTATATAACAGTAGGATATGTTACAATAGGCTGTGTCACAGTAGGATCTGTCACAGGAGGTTGTGTGTCCAGTAGGATGTGTCACTGTAGGCTGTGTGACCAGTAGGCTATTTCACAATAGGCTGTGTCTCAGTAGAATTTTTCACAGTAGTCTGTGTGACATTAGACTGTGTCACAGTAGGATTAGTAACCAAGAGACTATGTCATAGTAAGCTGTGTGACCAATCGGCTGTGTCAAAGTAGGCTATGTCTCAGTAGTTTGTGTCTCAGTAGAATGTGTCAAAGTAGGTTGTATCTCAGTAGAAGGTGTTATAATAGTCTGTGTGTCTAGTAGGCTGTGACACAATAAGAGATGTTACAATAGGCTGTGTCATAGTAGGATGTGTTCCAGTAGGCTATGTCACCATAGACTGTGTCAGAGTAGGTTGTGTCACAGTAGAATGTGTTATAGTAGGCTATCCCTCAGTAGGATGTATGACCAATAGGCTATATTACCGCAGGCTATGTTACAGTGGGCTGTGTGACCAGTAGGATGTTTCAAAGTAGTATTTGTGACCAGTACACTGTGTGACCAGTTGGTTGTGTCACAGTAGGCTGTGTCTCAGTAGAATGTGTTATAGTAGAGTGTGACCAATAGGCTGTGTCATAGTAGGTTGTATCTCAGTAGAATGTGTCACAGTAGGCTGTGTCTCAGTAGAATGTGTTATAGTAGGCTGTGTGGCAAGTATGCTGTGGCACAGTAAGATGATGTACAATAGGCTCTGTCACAGTAGGCTATGTTTCAGTAGGCTGTGTCACAGTAGGCTGTGTCACAGTAGGCTGTGAGATCAGTAGAATGTGAGAACAGTAGGCTGTCTCAGTAGGCTGTCACAGTAGTGGGTGTTACAGTAGGTTGGGTCTCAGTAGACTGTGTCACAGTAGGGTGTGTTTCAGTAGGATGTGTGGCCAGTATATTGTGTCACAGTAAGCTGTGTGACCAGTAGGATGTGTCACAGTAGCCTATGGGACCAGTAGGCTGTGGCCAGTATATTGTGTCACAGTAAGCTGTGTGACCAGTAGGATGGGACCAGTAGGCTGTGTCACAGTAGGCTGTCTCAGTAGGCTGTCTCAGTAGAATGTGTCATAGTAGGATATGTGACCAGTAGGGTGTGTTACAGTAGAATGTGTCAAAGTAGGATGTTACAGTAGACTGTGTCACAGAAGGCTGTGTCTCAGTAGAAGGTCTCAGTAGTCTATGTCACAGTAGGCTGTGTCTCAGTAGACTTTGGAAGAGTAGGATGTGTCACAGTAGGCTGTGTCTCAGTAGGCTGTATCTCAGTAGAATGTGTCACAGTAGGTCGTGTGAGCAGTAGGCTTTGTCATAGAAGGCTCCATTACACTAAGCTGTGTGACAGACTGTGTCACAGTAGGCTGTGTCTTAGTAGAGTGTGTCACAGTAGGCTGTGTGACATTAGGATGTTCACAATAGGATATGTAACCAGTAGACTTTGTCAAAGTAAGCTGTGTGACAAGTAGTATGTGTCAAAGTAGACTGTGTGATTGATAGGCTATGTCACAGTAGGATGTGTTAAAATAGGCAGTGTCACAGTAGGCTGTGTCATAGTAGGCTGTATCTCAGTAGGTTGTGTCTCAGTAGAATATGACACAGTAGGTTGTGTGACACTAGGATGTGTCACAGTAGCATATGAAACCAGTGGACTGTGTCATAGTAAGCTCTGTGACCAGTAGGATGTGTCTCAGTAGGCTGTGACAGGAGGCTGTGTCTCAGTAGAATGTGTCACAAAAGGCTGTGTCTCAATAGAATGTTTTATTGTAGGCTGTGTGGCAAATAGGCTGTGTCACAGTGAGATGTGTTACAATAGGCTGTGTCAAATTGGGATGTTTTTCAGTAGAATGTGTTATTGTAGGCTGTGAGACCAGTAGGCTGTGTCACAGTAGGCTCTGTCACAGTAGATTGCATCACAGTAGCATGTTTCACAGTAGGCTGTATCTCAGTAGGCTGTGTGGCCAGCAGGTTGTGTCAGAATAGGATATGTAACCAGTAGACTGTGTCACAGTAAGCTTTGTGACCAGAAGAAGATTCCTAGTAGGCTGTTTGATTTGTAGGCTATGTCACAGTGGGATCTGTCACAGGAGGTTGTGTAGGATGTGTCACAGTAGGCTGTGTGACCAGTAGGCTGTGAGACCAGTAGGCTCTTTCACAGTAGGCTGTGTCTCAGTAGAATTTTTCACAAAATTTTTCACCAGGCTGTGTCACAGTAGGATTACTAACCAGGAGACTATGTCACAGTAAACTGTGTGACCTGTAGGATGTGTCAAAGTAGGCTGTGTAATTGGTAAGTTATGTCACAGTAGGATGTGTCACAGTAGGCTGGTGACCAGTAGGTTGTCTCAGTAGGCTATCACAGTAGGCTGTTTCTCAGTAGAATGTGTCACAGTAGGTTGTGTCTCACTAGAAGGTGTTATAATTAGTTGTGTGTCCAATAGGCTGTGACACAGTAAGAGGTGTTTCAATAGGCTGTGTCACAGTAGGGTGTGTTTCAGTAGAATGTGTCACAGTAGGAAGTATGACCAGTAGGCTATATTACCACGGGCTATGTCACAGTAGGCTGTGTGACCAGTAGGCTGTGTCAAAGTAGGCTGTGTGACCAGTAGTCACTATGGCCAGCAGGCTGTGTCAACAGTCTGTGTCACAGTAGTATGTGTGACCAGTAGACTGTGTGACCAGTAAGTATATCACAGTAGGCTGTGTCACAGTCGGCTATGTGACCAGTAGGCAGTGTTACAGTAGGTTGTGTCACAGTAGGCTGTGTGACCTGTAGGCTCTGCTACAGTAGGCTATGTCTCAATAGGCTGTGTCACAGTAGGGTGTGTCACAGTAGGCTGTGTCTCAGTAGACTGTCACAGGAATCTGTGTCTCAGTATAATGTGTTACAGTAGGTTGTGTCTCAGTAGAATTTGTTATAGTAGGCTGTGTGGCAAGTAGGCTGTGTCACAGTGGGCTGTGTTACACTAGGATGTGTGACAGTAGGCTGTGTCACAGTATACTGTGTCACAGTCGGCTATGTGACCAGAAGGCAGTGTTATAGTAGGTGGTGTCACAATAAGCTCTGTGACCAGTAGGCTGTGTTATAGTGGGTTATGTCTCAGTAGGCTGCGTCACAGTAGCATGTGTCTCAATAGGCTGTATCTCACAAGAACGTGTAATAGTAGGCTAATGGGCAGTAGGCTCTGTCACAGTAAGATGTGTTACAGTAGGCTATGACACTGTAAGATGTGTCTCAATAGGCTGTCACAGGAGGCTGTGTCTCAGTAGAATGTGTTATAGTAGGCTGTGTGTACATTAGTCTATGATACAGTAAGATGTGTTACAATAGGCTGTATCACAGTAGGATGTGTTCCAGTAGGCTGTGTCACGTAGGATATGTAACCAGTAGACTGTCACAGTAAGCTGTGTGACCAGTAGGATGTGTCAGCGTAGGTTGTGTCTCAATAAGCTGTCACAGGAGGCTGTGTCTCAGTAGAATGTGTCACAGTAGCCTGTGTCTCAGTAGAATGTGTTATAGTGGCAAGTAGGTTGTGTCACAGTAAGATGTGTTACAATAGGCTGTGTCTCAGTAGAATGTGTCACAGTAGCCTGTGTCTCAGTAGAATGTGTTATAGTGGCAAGTAGGTTGTGTCACAGTAAGATGTGTTACAATAGGCTGTGTCTCAGTAGAATGTGTCACAATAGCCTGTGTCTCACTAGAATGCATTATAGTAGGCTATGTGACCAGTAGGCTGTGTTACAGTGGATTGTGTTATACTAGGCTGTGTGGCCAGTAGGCTGTGAGGCCAGTAGGCTGTGTCACATTAGTTGTGTCACAGTGGAATGTTACAGTGGGCTGGGTTTCTGTAGGATGTATGACCAGTAGGCTGTTATAGTGGGCTATGTCACAGTAGGCTGTGTGACCAGTAGGCTGTGTCACAGTAGGTTATGTCACAGTCGGATGCGTCACAGTCAGATGCGTGATCAGTAGGCTGTGTCATAGTAAGCTGTGTGACCAGTAGGATGTGTTACAGTAGGCTGTGTGACCAGTAAGCTGTGTCTCAGTAGGTTGTGTCTCAGTAGAATGTGTCATAGTAGGCTGTTTGACACTAGGCTGTGTCACAGTAGGATATGTAACCAGTAGACTCTGTCACAGTAAACTGTGTGACCAGTAGGATGTGTCACAGTAGGCTGTCTCAGTAGACTGTCACAGGAATCTGTATCTCAGTATTATGTGTTACAGTAGGTTTTGTCTCAGTAGAATGTGTTATAGTAGGCTGTATGGCAAGTAGGCTGTGTTACACTAGGATGTGTGACAGTAGGCTGTGTCACAGTAGGATGTTATAGTAGGCTGTGTTATAGTAGGCTATGTCACAGTGGGCTATGTGACCAGTAGGCTGTACTAAAGTAGTCTATATTACTATAGCCTGTGCTAGGCTATTTGACCAGTAAGGTGTGTCAACAGTAGGGTATGTTACCAGTGGACTGTGTTATTGTAGGATTGTTGCCATTGAATGGCTCATCGTTAATAATCAGTGTGTTTCCATCAGGTGGTCGCTGAGAATGGAATACCAAGGTGGAAAGAATGAAGGAAGGGGCAGGTTTTGCCCAAACGGCAGTGATTTCTCTTTTTTGCTCTCTCGGGCTAATGGAGGTGGTTTTAGGGCAAATTCCAGTTTTTCACTGAGTAACCCAAACAGTGATCCCTGATCCCCGGCATCAGTCACATTTCTGTGTAAACCTGTGTCTTCCCCTGGGTGAGAAGGAACTGCCACTCCTGGGTGAGAGGGTTTGGCTTAGCCTGCCACTGAGACCATTGCTGAGAGCAAATGCTGCTCAGAGGTAACGGGGCTGCTGGGCTTCTCCCCCTCCCCACTGCAGGGCGATGTTGATGACGGCGTGCGACCTCTCTGCCATCACGAAACCCTGGCCCATTCAGCAACGGGTATGTCGTTGATGAAGTGAAAGTAATCTTTGAAAATCAAACCAAGACATGTCTTCACTCTGCAAGGCAGCTTCTGGCATATTTGTGGACGTTATGATGTCATTTGTAAGTGGCATGACAAGCAGGCAGTTGGCCATAAGTTTTCTTCGTGGAAGATTCAATTGCACTTAGAATAAGGGGGGAGGTGTGTGAAGGAGGACAATGCTAGGGCTGGTAAGTTTGACTTTGGTAAGTACCACTTCTGTTCACTTAGCAGTGGCGTTAGCATGTCCCTTTCATAGTGCAGCAGGGAAGCATCGGCATTTCTGTTTCCTTTTTGTTCTTCCACATCAGACCTGGGAAGGCAGAGAGGTGAGCTTGGGTCCGGACCTACAAAGCAACACCGTAAGACCTCTATAATCAAAGCAGGTGGTGAGGGCGACAGACACAGAGGCCACAGGACATCACACACTGCACGGAACACTCGCTGTACAATAGAGGTGGCGTTTACAATAACCAGGCCAGGGCAGACTTAAATGACATGAGGGTGCCTTTCCTGTCTCCACAGCCAGGTAGCGAGAGGCAGAGTGGGGTCCAGTCTGCAAAGGTAAACTCCACGTGGAATTTGGTGCAGGAAAGTAAGCCAGGTGCTAAACAAGAACACTGTGCAATCTTCTGCAGCCTAGGAATGAGGAGACCTTCACAGAAAGACAAATGCATTTGATTCCATAAAAATGGAAATATTAAGATAGCTTCTGCATGGCAAAAGACAGTATAAGCAAAGCAAATGGGATACAATTTTGTTTCCATTCCTGCCTGGTCCTAAGTGTACTGATGTGTTTGAAAGCTGTAGGTCTGACTGGTTTTATTATCCTTTTTTTTTTAGCTTAAAATCATATATATTTCCAAAACAGATAAAACCAAACAATTTATTTTTTTAATTCCTATACACATATGGTGACATAATAAACAAATGAATTACACAAAATCTAGGGCATAGTTTCTTGTGAGGGTGTAGTAGGTAAAAGTGTTAAGAATAGATATATAGGTCTTGAAAGGTACAAGTAATATTCTGTTTGCAAAATTCATAACTTGGAGCTTTTATCAACATTTTACTATGTACTTATACATGATAAATACTTCTAATTCTATAGTTTATAACATTGCCACATTTTAAAAGCCTCCTTGGTGTTTTATTATATAAAGTTGTGCAACTATGTAGAATTACCCTTTTTTAATAATACAATATAAAATATTTGTATTTTCTTCTTTTCAATTGCTTTTGAGCCTATGTTTTTTCTATTATTTGTCCTTGGAAAGAATTGAAAATGCTGTTGTAACTTTTAAGGTTTCTGTCAAAAATACAGGGTACACCCTTTGTTCGATTTATATAAACTAGCAACATTTGAAAAACCGGTAAACATTCTAACGCTGTTTATCTGAAACTCCAAAGAGCCACTGAACTTTGGAGATCAGAACGTCCTCCAGTGACCCAGCGCTGTGCTGTCTATTGCAGATCGCAGAGCTGGTGGCGGCGGAGTTCTTTGACCAAGGAGACAAAGAGAGGAGGGAGCTCAACATAGAGCCCATGGTGAGTGTGAGGCCCGTGGCTGGGAATCCTTCACATAATGCCTCAGACGCTTCTGCATTATAAACTCCTTTTTGGGTATCAGGGAGGTCTTTCTTAGGAACACGCTTCTCCTCATTCTGTTTCCCATCCTGTTATACCTACTTTTTCGTAATTCGCTTTTTCCATTTAAGTATCCTCAGCCACTTTTCATTCTAACGATGCCACCCTCTATATATTGTTTATTGTGGTGACATAAAACGGGTCTAACCATCGCTTACCTACTTCCCTTGGTGGGTGTTTGTGATGTTCACCATTCCACGTGGCACCGTGATAAGCATCTGCATGGCTGAACATGGTCAGCATCCTGTTAGGGTGAATTCCCAGGGGGCACATGGATTTTGAAGGATTTTGTTCTTAATACATACTTCCTTTTACCTGCAGTATGAATCTCATATAAGAAAAATCCTCCTCTTGAACCTTCGGGAAGAGTTTTCCTGCACATGAAGCATAGAGCCTTCTTTTTCCAATTCCAATGGGCACTGACTGGGCCCGGGGAAACGGCCATGGTTAACAGGCCCAGGCTGTGTCTCATCACCTCTCCCGGTTGTGCAGTGTGAGGCGAGCTGCTTGAAGCTCAGAGCCTGTGCAGAAAGTGGAGGCAGAGTGGTGGTGACAGCCAGGGAGGATGTGCTTGACGTAAAGCCCCAGACAGACGCGGTGCTTCCCACACCAGCGCCGCCCACCTGGTCTCGTCACCAGCTCCTGGGCGAAGCAGCAGCGGCACCTGCAGAGCCTCTCTTGGAGCTCAGGCCTTGAGTTGTACCCACTGTGGTTTCGGCGCATCCCACAGAGCAGGGTTAGACCCACAGCAGATTCAGCTCACAGCCTGAGTGTCTTCCAAGTGCATGTCGTCATTCAATTCAGCATCAGCAATGAACGTTAGGGCGATGATGGGCTGCAAGTCAGTGGTCAGCTTTAGGACAGTGTCAGCTCTAGGGCAGGGTCAGCTCTAGGGCAGGGTCAGCTCTAGGGCAGGGTCAGCTCTAGGAGAGGTCAGCCCTTGGAGTGGTCAGCTCTAGGGCAATGGTCAGTTCTGGGTGATGTGGGAAGGTCACCACCACATCAAGGCTGAGGATCAGGCCTCCTTTCTGGGCAGTGCTGGAGGCTGGCACTGCTGAGGAGACCAGCACAGGTCAGGAGGTGGTGAGCAGGCGCCAGGCCGCCCTCCCCTGGCCCGGGACGGGCAGTGTCCTCTTTCCGTGGCTGCAGGTCTGAGTGTCCATCCTGTGCTTGTGCTCCAGGACCTGATGAACAGGGAGAAGAAGAACAAGATCCCCAGCATGCAGGTCGGCTTCATCGACGCCATCTGCCTGCAGCTGTATGAGGTATCTCCGTGCAGACTGGTGGGCTGCTAACTCCTCAGACCCTCCACTCCACCGAGGGCAGCCATCTAGCGAGTGCCTGCCGTGTGCTGGTCCCAGTGGTGCAGGCACATGGGGACTGTTGCCCCAGGACATGTACGGGCACGCTCTCTGTCGGTGTTGCTCTTTGTACAGTAAGTCTGATCTAAACAGAGAAGCTTGTTGTCCAGCTCTTTCCCGGAGACCAGTGCTAACAGGTGTCTGTGAGGGGAAAGGAGGGGCTGGGGGACATTGCAGTCCCACCTCCAGGCACTTTATTTTCGAGGTGATGATGTTCCCTAACACAACTGCTTCCTAGTTTAGATTTTTAATGCCCCGCGTACAGGAAATAAACGCTGCCTCATCTTTCGAAATGTAAGTGGTATCCCATCCCCAACCCCGCTGTTGGGTGCTCAAGTCAATGCTTCTCTATTATGAAGCAATCTGCAGTGAACATCCTTTTCCCCAAATGTTTATGGCACTATAGTTGCTAAAAATAAACCACAGAGAATTATGATTTCATCCTTATTGTAATCGTGGGTAAAATTGATTTTTAAGTACATGATAAGAAAAAAACATTTTATAGGAAAACACAAAAACCAGGCCAGTCGCAGGCAGAGCAACATGTGTGCAAAACGCCTAATTCCCAGCCAGCGGCTCGCCGGGCCTCCCAGCCAGTGCTGTGCTTTGGACGTGTGTTTGCTCTGTCAGCTCGTACCCGCTCCCCGGGACCTTCCTTGTGGCACAGCCGTCGTTTCGTGGGTGCTGGCGGAGCCTGGGGAAGCGCGGCTGCCCACGGGGAGCGGTGCAGCCGGCACCCGGGGTGGCTACTGCCTGGCGCCCCCTAAGGCGGCTCTCTCTCCTTCCCCAGGCTCTGGCGTGCGTGTCCCCCGACTGCTCCCCGCTGCTGGACGGCTGCAGGCACAACAGGCAGAAGTGGCAGGCGCTAGCCGAGCAGCAGGACGCGTTGGTCAACGGGGCCAGCGGCTCCGCCCCGCGCAGCTGACCGCCTGGGCCCTGGGCGGGATGTCATGACCCCGGCCTGGCTGGACACGGCCCCCTGCCTGTGCCCTCCCCACGCTGCCCGGTGTGTGTGCACAGCTTCTGAGAGCACCGCAGACTGTGTGCGGGGTGTCCTACTGTGTGTGTGTTGCCCACTGAGCTGAGACTCCGCTGAGGCTCTGCACGGACCCCACCCCCCACGCAGGTCCAGGCAAGAATCGGTGCTGAAAGCGTGGGCTGTTTGGCTTGGGAATTTTAAGTAATTGGTTTTGTGGTTTTGGGATTGCTGACCTTTCTAGAATGTTTGGAATCTTTTCTTTCTCAAAAATAGGCCCCGAGCAAATGGAATATATTTCGTGGCACGTGAAACCTGCATAAGGTTGAGAAAAATCGGGGCTGCGTGGATGAGAAGGGGGAGGGGGAGATTTGTCAGCAATGTGTGATGTTAAAAACAGTGAACACTCCCAGACCAGCGGGAGGTGTGCCAGCGGGGTTGTAAAGCAAAGGTGCCCTCTCACTGACGATCGCTGGTCCGATCACCAGACCATGTGACCCAGGAACGCCATGGCCACCGGTTCTGTCCCTTCTCTGTGTGACCTCCGTTCGCCTTACAGCGGGCAGCGTGCACCTCGGTGGGAAGTCAGGAACCGAGTGGCGATCAGAGCCCAGAGCTGACGGGAGCGGTGGCTGCAGATAAGAACGCGCAGCCAAAGGCCCCCTGGACGTGGGGCAGCAGGAAGCCACTCCGCCCGAGGAGGTCACCAGGCTGCTGGTGACAGCCCGCCGGGGTCGCGGAGTGGGCAGTGCCCTGCACCCTGGCCCCGGGCTGGCGCTGTGTCCACGCCTTAGCTTCCAGGCCTCGTGGGAAATGTGAACGTTTTAGAATCAGCTCCACGCTCAGCGTGTGCTCCTGTCCTGGAGACGCAGGGCGGGGCAGGCGCTGCTCCTGGGAAGACAGTCTGCTCCAAACCCGTGCAAATGTCTGCACTGAGCAGGAAGAGGTGTTCGCTGGGTTTGTTACCTCCCCCTCCCCCAAACAACACCAAGTTTCTGTCACTGTTTGGGGGCGAAATCTCCCGGGGGTGGGAGGTGGGGGGTGGGGGGCGGTAACAGCATTAGCAAAGCTTTCGTGAAACAAGGTTCCCTTGTGTAGCATTTTCCTCTAAGCTGCCTGACAGTGGACATGTGAAGTTTCCTGTGTCTGTGTACCTTGAGCTAATGCCCCTGCGTTCTTGCCACTCAGGTAAAAATAAAGGGGGGGGGGGGGGGGGTCCAAGAGGAACGGCCAGTCTGCAAGTTACGGACTGTGTGGTGTGTGTGTGTGGGCGTGACACTGGTATGTTCGGGATGTCACCCCATTCCTTTTTCACGTCATACAGATGAGCTGAGGAGCCTCTTTGGGGGCACAAGGGTGTCTGTCCCAGGCTGCCCCTGAATCACGCCCCTGTACCCTGTGCACACCCATGTGCACACGTGTTCCTCCGTGTGGAACACTGAAGTGACGTCTCTAATAGCCCCCTGTCACCGTGCACTGTGACCATGCCTCCGTCTGTATCACAGCTTCCGTTCTGACCCCGCACACGCCTCGGAGCCTGTGAAAGCCCTGCAGAGCCGTCTGGGTGGCGTGAGGGCCATTGAACAGGCACAGAGGTAACTTAGGTCAGAAGCGGCTCGGTTTGCCCTCAGACCGGTCGGTCTCACTTCACGCGCTTAGCAGTAGAAGGGGCGCTGCCATGCCTGGCGCTTCTGCCCCCACAGAAGGACCCTCCTCAGAGCTGCTTCCGGCCATTTAACTTTTAGGAAAATCATTCCGTCCGTGGACTCCTATCCGGTACGTGGCACCAAGTTTCCGTTCTCGTGTGACTGTTTGCTCTCCTGCCGCTTCTAGTGGGAAATGGTGGGTGTACAGTCTGGTGGGAAACAGACGGCAGTGAATAAGCAGCACGAAAGAGCAAGCTGCTTCCTGTGCTCCCAGCGGCCCCCGCTGTGCCGCCTGCGCCTCCCCGTGTGCCCCCAGGGGAAGGGCCTGTGCCTTTGGCTGAGCCGTGAGGCCGTGACTTCACTTCGTCTCCAGCCCCAGCGCCTCCGCTCGGGTGTTTAAACCCTGTGACCGTGGCGGCCCGCGGGCCGCAGGCCTGAGTCCGGGGGCCACGGCCTGTCCCGGGCGGGAACGGGCGCGGTGTCCGGCGAAGCCTCCGTCTCCCCGAGGACGCCACCCGCGGCGCTGTCCCCCGGCGGCCAGACCACTGCCGCCCCGGACCCGCGGCCACGGAGCTGTGGCCCCACGTGCGGCCCCTCAGACGCCTCACTGGCTCCCTCGCAGAGGCTGGTGAGCGGCCCGGCTCCTGATTCCAGAAGGTTCCAGCCGCCCTGCTGGCCGCGGGCGCGTGGGAACCCGCCGGACCGCGGCTCCGAGGGGACGGCCAGCTGCGAGGGACGTGCCGTGTCCCGCTCTGAGCACGCGTGACAGCCCCGGTGCCACGCCTCCTGCGTTTTTCACTCCGGGCTCCGCAGACTTCACGGCTCCGTCCTGGGGCCGCTGGCGACGAGAGGAGGACACCCTGGCTCTGCCATGGCCTCCGAGTGCCCGCGGCCACGGGGCAGCTGCACCGCCCGGCCCGCCGCGCGCCAGGCGCCCCCGGCCCTGGGCGGCGCTGGTGAGGCCGCTCAGCGCTGAGCCTGTCTGTGGCCATGGGGCCCAGGCACGTGTGCCACGTGTGTTTTCATCGGTAACGTGATCGCGCAGCTTTCCAAGGAGCTCCTCACCCGCACCCTCGGGGGCCTGGTGGGACACCTGTCTTCCTGCGGATGGTCGCCGCCCCCGAGCGCCCGCCGGCCCAGGTCGCCGTCGCCGCCGCCTGGCCGCGGGCAGGAGCGGCGGGGAGGGTGGCGCTCACGCGTCCGCACCCCCTCCTGAGGCCTGTGGACGCGTCCGAGTGAGTCTGGAAAGCCGTGTAAATAGTTGAAAATAGAAATTTCTACTCCAGGTTAAGACAAGAAAATCTTATGAGTCCTCACTAGCCACTGTTCATATCTATTTGTATTCTTATACCTTTTCGGCATATTTGAACAAATATATAGTTTCTGGCACTATTTTTGTACTAGGATAACGGAGGTCCTTTGTATATTGTGTTTAGCATTTGAATAACTGTGAGTGTTGATTTCTCGTCTTACCCCACTCCCCCACCCCCACCGCGAGAAGCATGTCAGAGACACGTCCCTGTGAAGGAACTCACGGGGACCAGCCCTACTAGTAGGGACCAGCCCTACTAGTGGCCCCTGAGGGCAGGCTCATCGCTGTCCGGTGTCCCCGGTGCTGCCACGCTTTGTAAAAATAAAAGGCAGAATGAGCAACCATGTGTGAGTGCGCAGTGGTCATCGGGTGTGGGTTTCAGGCGGAGGGAAGGAGTCGAATAGATAGACTTTAGATCTCGCTCCCCGGGGTCCTACCAGCTGGGAAAAGTCCTCCCCGACCCAGGCTCCTCCCAGCAGCAGCCCTCTTGTTAGCCATGTCCTCCGCCACCCACTGGCAGCCACACTTCCCGTCTCCTCCCTCCGAGAGCCCAGCTGCGCTCTGGAGGGCAGGCCCAGCCTCGTGCGTGGAGGTGCAGGTGTGGGGGGAGCGGGGAGGGTGCTGGCCACATGCACGGCCGGATGCCAGCCCAGCTTCCCGATTTCCAAATGGATGCAACTCCACTCAGTCCTCCTCTCATTGTCACTGTGAGAGGCCCCAGTCTGAGGGCGGGGGGTCAGGTGGGCAGCTGGAAGCATGGAGCCGGGCATCACTCACCCCGCCGGTTGGTGTGTTTGGGATCCACGGTGACCCCTTCGTTCCTCGGGCACAGGGCCCTCACACGCACTGCAGAGGCAGGAGGCGGGGTTCAGTTCAGGGTCATGGGCCTTGTGGGTTCTGCCTGGACAAGCCCCTTCCTGTGGCCGAGGAGCTGAGCCTGCACAGCAGGGCTGAAGGCCAGGTGCACAGAGCTCGCCTGCAGCCAGCGTTCAGGCTTCCGGGCCACTAGAGGGCACCAGAGTTTGAGTTGTATTTAAAAATACCAAACCCACCCACACACTGGGTACAAACAGTGAGTAGAAGTGCTCTTTAAAAGTTTTTAGGAGCTGGGAAATATTATGCCAAGTGAAATAAGCCAAACTGAGAAAAAAAAAACAATATCACACGATCTCACTTACTAGTGGAATCTAATGAACAAAAAAGAATTGACCAACAAAATAAGACCCGAAGCAGGGAGGCGCGGACCAGACTGGCACACGTCGATGTGGGGGCGGGGGGCGAGAAGAGAGAAACTGAAGACCTTATATACCAACATGCGTAACCCATGGCACAGGCCATCGTGTGGTGAAGGCCTGGGGGACATGGGGACAGCTGTAATACTATCAACACTAAAAAATACATTTTAAAAAATAATGTTAACAAAAAAAAAAAAACACATTGAAACCTGTAAAGAATTTGTGTGAGTTTATTTGAGCCAAACTATCAACATATGCCGAGAAGCAGAACCACAACGGATTGAGATAATGCTTTTGAGAATGGCAGGTTACATCTGTATTTATACACTGCAATCAAAGGAGGGACATAGGTGGGTGACATTGGTGATGGAGTAAGGAGGCGGGAGAAAGCAAAGCAGTGGGAAACCCCTGGGATTGGATAAAAAGTAAAATGATGGACACACACTTAGGTGGGTATAAGAACAATTAACATGATAAAGAAGGAATTTGAGGCATCTGCCCACCACATTTGGTTGTGCCCCAGGGGCTCCAGACAAAGGGAAGTTACAAGTTACCCAGACAGCTCACAGATATGTTATCTTAGAGGCAAAAGGCAAATGGGCTCAGGAAAGAAGATCCAAGTTGATCTTTGGGAAAATATCGGCCTAGGACATGACTGCCCACTATAACCTGTTAGTAGTTAGATACTTAATTTTCAAACCATCTTTTGTGGTTATTTTAGGTCTCTGAGTTTTCAAGACTGTCACGCAGGCCTTC